GTACGCTGTTAGGCGCCGTGTCATAAGTCCTCCAGATATTCATGATTTCGGTCAATTTTGTGTGAATTTCAAGGAATTGAACAGAGGAAGCGATCCCCAAAGGGGATTCTCGATAGGGTGAGAACTGGCAAAAATGGCCGTACCAGTTCTGCCACGGCACGTGATCTGGGCGTCTATATCCCCAAAGAGTTATATAATACCATACCATTGCCTGTACAGATCGGCATCCTTGAACTTGGGCCATGTATGGGAGGGTTCAGACACTATCGTGTCGTGGGATAACGGCTCTATGGAGGTTCCTTGGGCTTGCACTTCCATCTGTGCAGCCTGGTAAGTCACGACAACCGATTCGAGCATACTGCCAAGTCACGTGACACATAAGCGCGCGCTTAATCGCGTACAAAAGTGGAGGCGTTTAAGTGAACTGCACCATAATTGCTGCCTGAACTCAACCCTGGATTTCGGAGGTCTTCACCCTACAACATATCAACGACATGAACGGTTGCAAGTTGTGACGGAACGCCGTAGGTACATTGCTTGAGGAGCCTCCTCAGATATTGGCGGTCACCACGGAGGCGCGCAGTGGCACAAGCGTATCAATGGACCAGTCTGGTCCCCCACCGCTCCAGATCATTGCCGTCCACGGAGGTGCTGGATTTCATCCCAAATCGACCGATTTAGAGGTCAAACATGCGCTGCGTTTGTGAGTCCACACACAGGAACAGGGACTTGACTACTGACACGCAGTTGTAGAGCATGTAGCCGCGCTATCGAAGCATTCACGCGCGAACGCGGGGTCGCGCTGCCTGCCGTATGTGAAGCAATATCTGCTCTAGAGGAGGATGAATGTCTCAATGCTGGTGCGTATGACTGCTCGGTAGTGCTTGCGCATGTTCTCTCACGTGTTTGTGCGCCCTGACCAGGCTACGGTTCCAATCTGACCCTCCGCGGTACTGTGGAATGCGACGCCTCCATTATGGATGGCCGCAACGGTAATTTTGGCGCTATCGGTAGCGTTTCAGGTCAGCCTACACATTGAGGCTCATGCTCTGGCAGCTCAGAGATTTGTGCTTCTAGGTGTGAGGTACCCTATCAAACTAGCGCATGAGGTCCTGCTATACTCGCGCAAGCCGGACCCTCTTGGTCGCACCCCACCGCTGTACGGTTCTTTATGATTCTAGGCGCGATTGTCGCTCAGAAGAATGCCAGCTTACTGGTCTCCTCTGGCGCGTCGGAGTTCGCCGAGTCATATGGACTACGATGCCCACCTCAGTCAATGGTTTCCCGTCGAGCGCAAGGCGAATGGGTCAAGTGGAAGAACGAGCTTGACGCCGCGAAGTCTCGTCTATCCGAGGACTCGCCAGCCACCCCAGGTCAGGATGCGCCTCCACAGTTGCAGGTCGACGGCCTGCGCGATAGACAGGACACCGTGGGCGCTGTCGCATGCAACGCAGAGGGCCACCTAGCGGCTGGCGTGTCAAGGTAGCCCGCCTTCGTCCTACCACCCGCACCGGAAACTCACTGACTCGCGCCCAGCGGCGGCTTACTGCTCAAGCTTCCAGGACGAGTCGGCGAAGTATATTCCTATTTTCTCCCATAATTTATCCGTTCATCCTATGCTGAGAGTAAATGCTCCCTGCTTCACGTCCAGGCAGCTATCTATGGTGCAGGATGCTGGGCCACGCACAAGACGGCGTGCAGCGTATCAGGTTAGTCTCGCGAACCCTCGCCCCTGGCGCTCCACTTATCGTCTGCCTCGCTGTGCGGCGTTTCCGCGAACCCCTCTCAACAGGCGCCGGAGAATACATCACCAGAATGTCCCTCGCGCGCGCCCTCTGCGAGGCCATTGAGGCAGCCGGGGACGATACAGACACTCACGAGGTCCTCCAACGCGTTCTCGGCGAGGACTTTCTCCGTACGTCTGCGGATTGCGCCTACGCGCCGAGCCCTTTTTCGGTTTGTGGGCGTCGCCCGGCTTACGTTTTCTCCACGCTATTTCCGCGACGGCGTAATGGCAGAGCTATGCTCGGATAGGGGCGAGCCGTCTCCACAGGCGGGCGTGCTGCTTCTAGTGAAGGAAGAGCGCTCCCGCGACGATAGCGCGAACGTCGGGCACGATAGCGACATGGACAGCGACAGCGACGGCAATGGCGACGATAGCAACACCGACAAATCCGATCGTGGCGGGAACAGCCACGGGGGGCGTCCCGCTTTCAAACGTAGGTCGCGGGCTGTCGCGTCTGCCCGCCCGCGAACGTACGCTGATCCGTATGCTGAACACCTGCCCCGGCCTCTCCCTCTGCTGCCTCTACAACCGCCCCTCGACACAAACGAATGGTACTGGAAGCTCGGCTCTGGTGCGCTTTCACAACGGAGAGCATGGCAATCGGGTATGCGACGACCTTGTCCCCGAAGCCCAGCGTACGTCCAGCGAGCGCACACTACTGCGCAGGCTGCATAACATGGGGTTCACTGACTGCTTGTGTCGTTGACTCTTCTCATACAGACTGTCATCCTTCGCCGCCCGCCTCGGGCTCCTGGGAGGGAGAATAGTCCATCTGTGTACATCACGGCGCTGCCGTTGAACTATTGAGATGTCGGACGCTGACAGGACAAGGGGCTCAACACCTGCGGCCTGAGGGCTTGGACGTAATACGTTGTGCGTCTGATAGCTGGCCGCTGTCTTGAAAAGTACCATGTATGTACTAAGGTCCGATACCAGTGCTAGGTTATACGTCAACGCGTATGCGCTAGAACATGTCTTTAATCCGAATATCGGCCTTCTACTTCTATACGACGATCTATCATTTCTCAGAACAAAAGCGCAGGGCGGTGCCTATGAATTTGTAGAAGGTGCTATAGTACGTACATACGTGCGTTCCACATACCCATGTCCAGTCTATGTATCCCATGAGCCGCAGCATTACAATCACCGCCGGTCCATGGGTTGCAGCGAAGCACGGCGGACCCTGTACGTTCCCAGCCATTCCCAGGCAACCACCATTGACAATGAGTGAGAACGCGGAAAATGAAAACACGCCATACCCATGACACCAGCACCGTCACGTCCGATATCCATATCTGACGCCCAACCATCGGTGTCGGCCCCCATGCTCTTGTTCGGAACCTCGTCCCTTGGCATCAAGCCAGTTAAGTCCGACCTCCTGATTGAATCGGTACAGCATGAATGACGGATATATCCGACTTGACAGCGGCAGAGGTAGAGGCAGTCGGTGTCCGGTGACCAAACCCTCAACAATTCTCAACGGGAATACCGTTACGACAAGTATGACGCAGGAAAAGTCGCAGATTGTACAGGACCGACTACCCGGGTCTGGGTAGGGCAGCACCGTTCTTCTGTGTCAGTGGCCGAGGAGTCCCTGGAGTCGATGGCGTGGTGGCGAGCGGACGCGACGCATTGAGTCGCTGCAGCGTCTTAATTGGAAACTTCGTCCTGGGGAAATGTTGCCACGGATTCAGTTATCAGGATACTCCGCAGCTAGCAGTGGAACCAAGTAAGACCGGGCGAGAGGTGGCGAGAGCGGGCCGAGTCGCTGCGCTCGATCGAGCGTCCATCGGGAAGAAGCACGGAAGGAGTATGCGGAGATATGTCGTGGAAACTCACCGGCACGTCGAGCAGACTGGAACGGGCTGGCAGAATACTGTTGGACAAAGTTCAATCGATGAGCGCCGTAGTCTTGTCGGCGATGAGAGGGGAGCTTACTTGACAGGCAGACGGAACAGACGAAGCCGATCTCGACTATGCGCTTGTGACAAAAACAGGCGGCGCGGAAGTCTACTCTATCTTGGGTAGGCACCGAGATCAGCTGGCGGATGGCAGGAGGGGGTAGGAATGACATCTGTACATGATGAGCGCATGATGAGCGAGCCCGCCGCTTCGACGCAAGGAAGGACTGCATACCATCATGTACTGGAGTAAGGCATCGGTCCGTTCGATTTGTACGTATGCGCCGCCAGTGAGGTGAGCTGCCTGTTGCAGGAAGACGTTCTCGGCTCCGAATACCTTGCAAACATCTATTGTGACTTTCTAGGGTGGAACGGAGGTTGGTATACTTGCGTTGCCGTGAAATATCCGCAAGACGAGCGGTACTCACTAGCTTCTGCGCTGAGAATATGGAATTCATGATGGGAATATACGTAGAGGATTGATCTGGGGACACTGAAAGCACCAATATACGTGGGTCGATGGATATGGTTGCTCCCTCCGTTCCTTGTGCAGAGGCCGATACTACGGAAATTGTCCTATTGATGTCTGCGCACCTATTAACACATGATGGGCACAGATGGGCAAGACAGGCGAGGACTCACAACATAGCGCCTTAGTTAGGCAACCGACAAGGCCTATCGGCTCTGCAACCAGACCATGTTCACAACCAGACACGAACGGAGGCGGCAAAGTGCACTTGCTCACCTTCTTCCTCTGTAACATCGTAGGAGTTAAAACGCTCCGCTATTGATGACATCACGGTCGAGTCCAGCGTCTTGAACGGGCGATACGTGTTGGGATCTGTAGCTTCGGTGGTTGCCGTCATGATTTCTCCGGTGGATGAATACAGCATCACACTACATGCGATGAATTACAGGCGTACGCGCGCAAGGTAAACTTGCGAACCGATTCGCGAAAGGAGCCCAAGGTACGCACCTCTGCCCAGGGAACGCACCAAAGACCGCTAACGTGTTCTCATCCTTGCATGCAATATGCGCGTTCAGAAACGCGAGTAGCTGCGATAAGAATGTTTGAAGGTGCAGACCAGGCGGGGCTGTAGACTGAGCGCAGAGAGCCCATTGCGTCGGGGAAAGGTCCACGATCACGCTCAGATGAGAAGGCTTGTCCATGACGTTTGGGGCGTGTTTTAGCGACGACTTGAGATATCCCACCGCGGCAAGCAACGAGGGAGTCGTTAGTGATATTTCGACGAGGATCTGACGGCGTCGTCGCACGGTCTAGGAAGAGCTCATGACCGGGGCTGGTCAAGGTTGCGCCCAATTTGCGCCACAGGCGCGTACGCACGGGGCGTCCTTGACGCGCAGGCGCCCGCACCGGTCCATCAGACCGGGCGACTAGTTCTAAAATGTCGCTACGTTGGCAGACAAGACATGGTCCTTCACGTATATCGGATGTTTTTGGAACAGGCACCACAGTGAATGAAAGCAGATCATACTGAATTGCCAGTCCAACCTATCTCGTATATCGGGAGGGGAACTACCAATACTTCGGACTCGTCACTGGAGTTTCCCATCCATCTCCAACACGGGCCGCATATCAGGAACGGGCTCTCGCCCAACCTAATATCTCCTACCACAGAATACACCGCTGGAACCTTGGTACACACCCGGCAGTTGTCGCACAGGGGAGGGGTGATTTGAGTGGTAAGCGGGTACCCAACGGGAGGGTCCGATGGATGACGAAGACTGCACGGATAAGATCAGCACACAGAGCAGCGGGTAGCGGGACTAGAGCTCACCGAATAGTAGTAAAAGTGAAGAAATGCTCGCAGCTGCCGGCGTGCAACAGCCAGTAAGGTTCGTTCAGCCGCACTGTCAGAGAAGACAACTTCGTGTCATGCATCGGTCCACCTTTCGTAAGGCTAGGTCGTTTCTCTTCGGGCAGTGACTGCAGCTGTCTGAGCACCTTGCTGCTTAAACTCAGCCGCTATCCCATGCGGGAATTGAAAGGCCTGTGACGTACTCCGCATAATCATCCTCGCTCTGGCAATCTCCGTACAGTACGTCTTCTATGCACACAGCCGCCCCCGTGTCGTCGTCGACAGCCATATCATCACCACTTCGCCGAGACCTGTATCCTGTCACCGTACCGGTCTCATCACGAGTCTCATGAGGTATTTCTTTTGACGTGCATGGAATTGCCTCGAACAAGTCACGGAGCGATTGCGACGATAGCAGGACGTGCTGGGAAGCCCGCGAGAGAATCTTCTGTCCCCAGGACAATCGATTATATACTGTAACAGATAGCAGAGCATCGTGGTCTCCGGCAGCAGACGTGGGCCCAACACCCAGGCTCTTCTGTAGTAGTGGTCTTGAGAATGGAAGCGGAAGAAGGATTCGTGAGTACTCACAACATTGATCAATGTGTTATGGTCTTGCTGCCTCGTTGGCCGAATGAACGATGCAGCATGAATCGTCAATCTGTGTAGGTTGGAGTCGGTGAATTGGCGACTGACAGGACCAAGTGGGGTGGGCTACTCACGGCCAACACCGTAGATGGATTGCTTCGTGCTTCAGTCGCAAAGCCGTGACTCCTGGAGCCTCGGCTCCGGGGTCGGCTAATGTGGTTCTCTTCCGCTTCTTCCGGATGGGCTCGGCGGTTTCGTATATCGCATGGACTGTCGCCTCGTGCGTTCTCCTAATATGTCCCATTAGTTGAGGGTCACGGATCGTATCTTCGAGCATAAGGCGGAGGTCATCCACGCTATCCTGGTTGAAGTGCATAAGTCATTCGCCTGGGATTGGGGATCGACGTGGTGGCAGGCGGAGATGACGATAGCACTCCGTGGAGGATGGGTGAAGTGGGGAAGACGTACCGACACTCAAGTTCGATCTTCTCTCGTTCATCCTGGGGAAGGGATGTCCATGACGTTCTGATGTCCTCTGGAAGTGCGGCTGCGGACTGGGAGAATGCTGGTATGGGGTTATCCTCCTCGGAACCTCTCTCCAACTCTTTGGCTGCATCCAGGAAGTCGGACACCTCGATTGGCTCTGAGGGCGGGCCAATGTATGCTTCATGCGCCTGTCCAGCGGTGAGGTTCATCCTTGCACCCGCGATGCCAGTCGAGCGTTCGTGGCTTGCGTTGGGGACGGCGGAAGTCCAGATACCCGCGCGCGACGCGTCGGTGGCGAGTATATGTCGCGTGTCTTCGCCGACGACGAGCACGCTGCAAGACGGAACACGAATTCCGTTGCGTAAGTCTTGGCTCGGCCGATATAGGCGAGTGCCCCGCGGGGACGGTGGTTGTATCGCTGTGGAGGATGGAGGCCAAGTTCCGGGGGAGGCGCCTTCCCGGTTGCGGGACATACTTAGCCGGCGCCGTTCAACGCGATCTTGTCCTCCTCCACGTCGCCCTCCATGCTGTCCACGGTTCGTCGCTCGCTGCCTCAGACGTTGCGCTCGAGGGCCCCGGTATCTCGCATCCAGACCGCCGCTATCTCTTCAATTAGCCGATCCACCGGTCCGCTTTCCCAGCAGGCACTTCGTCCATCTACTTCTGTCCCCCTCAAGCCCGCCCACTCTTTCGTTCGCACCATGTCTGCTCACGCCGAGTCTGCTGTGCGTCCAGAGCCGGACCAGGTCCTCCAGGACATCGCCGATTATGTGCATAACTACAAGATCGAGAGCCCCCTAGCATGGGAGACCGCCCGACTCTGTTTGATTGACACCATCGGATGTGGCCTGGAGGCGCTCAGGTTCCCCGCCTGCGCGAACTTGCTGGGTCCGGTCGTGGAGGGTACTGTGGTCCCGAACGGTGCGTGCACATGTGTTTCCTGTATTTTTAGTGCAGCACCGAGCTTTCTGTTGCATAGGCACAAAGGTGCCCGGCACGAACTACCAGCTCGACCCTGTCCGTGGTGCATTCAACATCGGCACCCAGATCCGGTGGTTGGACTACAACGACTGCTTCCTCGCTGCGGAGTGGGGACACCCCTCGGACAACCTCGGTGCCATCCTTGCCGTCGCTGACCACCTCGCCCGCAAGGGTGAGCCCCTGACCGTGCGCGATGTGCTCGAGTCCATGATCAAGGCGCACGAGATTCAGGGTGGGCTCGCACTCCTCAATTCATTCAACCGCGTCGGGTTGGACCACGTCGTCCTTGTCAAGGTTGCCAGCACTGCGGTCGTCTCCAAGCTGCTGTAAGTAGCTTCTGATTAGCCCCCAAAGTTATAGAAAGTCGGCGCTGACTGCATGTAGCGGCCTGAGTCGCGCTCAGACCATTGACGCCATCTCCCACGCCTGGGTGGACGGACAGTCTCTGCGCACTTACCGTCATGCGCCTAACACTGGTTCTCGAAAGTCTTGGGCCGCCGGCGACGCTTGCTCCCGCGCGGTCAACATTGCCCTTCTCGTCCAGCGCGGCGAGAAGGGTATGCCCTCCGTGCTCACTGCGAAGACCTGGGGCTTCTACGATGTCCTCTTCAAGGTACGTCATTGTGCGGAGGGGCTCTTGCAGGCGATCTAATTCCACGCGACAGAGCAAGCCCTTCGAGTTCCAGATGCCGTTCAGCCAGTACATCATGGAGAACGTCCTCTTCAAGATCTCGTACCCAGCCGAGTTCCACGCCCAAACTGCGGTCGAGGCAGCGCACATTCTCCATAACAAGCTGAAGGCGCTCGGCAAAACTGCTGACGACATCAAAAGCATCCGTATCCGCACGCAGGAGGCGGCTATGCGCATCATCAACAAGAAGGGTCCGCTAGACAACTTCGCCGACCGAGAGTGAGACATCGATGCTTTCATCACATGATCGCGTAAGGCTTAGTAGTGTACTTCCCCTCTTCTAGCCATGACATCAACTACATGGTCGCATACCCGCTCATATTCGGCGAGCTCACCTCCGAGTCATACACAGACGAGGCCGCGAAGGACCCTCGCATCGACGCCCTCCGTGCCAAGATCACCTGCGTCGAAGACAAGCGGTTCAGCGTCGAGTACCACGAGCCCTCAAAGCGCTCCATCGGTAACGCCCTTCTCGTCGAGCTCAACGACGGTACCGTCCTGGACGAGGTCGAGATCGAGTACCCGGTCGGTCACAAGCGTCGCCGGGAGGAGGGCACCCCTCTTCTGCTCCGGAAGTTCGAACGCCATATCGCTCCCCACTTCTCCAAGGAGCAGCAAGCGCAGTAAGTTCCTTTGCGCCGCCTTTCCGCTTGTCGACTCTATGCTGATGCGCATGGCGTCCAGAATCCTCAGCACGGTCAACGATGCCGAGGCCCTTAGCAAGCTCCCTGTCGACCAGTTCACCAACCTCTTTGTGAAGGCATAAGTGTTACGCGTTGCATTCTTCTCATGAATGTACTATACCACAAGGGAGCACCGATTTGCTACCTCAGACAATGGAGCTTGATTGACCGTGGCGTACTGTCGTTCATCCCCGCATCCACGCGCGTAGAATGTCCGGGACAAGCCTCACGATATCCCCGAGCCATCGGTAGTCAATCCTACCTTCCTCACTGGGGTTCTTGCAGGGCTGATCGTCGTGCTATGACGACGGCTATCATGTACGGAATTCTGACGGAGAAGCGTCGAAGCATTCCCAGAAGCCAATAGAGGCCCGTCTGCGCAACGTGCTGCCCACGCGGTATCATCGAGGACAGCGGCGCAGTGACTGGTGATGCTGGTTAGTACAGCGCCCGATCCAGACGAGCGCTTTTGGCCGTCCAGTTGGTGAGATATACATGTTACGAGAGCGGATATTTCTGTTGTGCTACGCCTTACGGATGCAGTGAGGTAATTTGGCGGCTACATGGAAGACTCGAGGTATACGAGTCATATCATCCCGCAATGTCATGCACAAGAGCCACGCTCATACGTGCCCCTGCACCCTGATTGCCAAACAGCCTCGCTCTAGAGGATTCCCGGTGAACATGCCTTGCCTCCTGACGATCATTAGACCTGTAAGTTGTCAGAAAGGGTTCTGCACACCATCGATATCGCAGGAATGACTCCAGCAAATGCGCCCGATGAGGCTATATACACGCAGTGCCGCGCGTGTGTATGGCAAGTTCTAGCACTGTACGTACACATTATGCCAACCCCCCGCGGGTTCCTTGTGTCAGCTTACTCTCCTTGGCATAGGCATAATATAGAACCAGCGAGGGCTTAGGTGTATACATTGCGTTTGGCCTCATTCCGAGGCCCTGATCCTGTGCAGTGGCGTAGAGTGTGATGTTCTCTCCATTCCTCGCCCACTGGCTAGGCTGGGACACCGCACCGTGACCTTCAATCCACCTAATTGTTCGGATCAGCTTGCGACGTGCCCAACCTCGTGCACGACGAACAGAACGCTGTACGTCATGGAAAACTCTCTGGTTTGTCCATTAGGCCTTGCTTGGTATCTTATGCACGAAGTTTGATGTACAGATTGAGGCTGAGGGTTCTGTTCCTCAGTACATCGGAGGACGGACGCGAGCCCCGCCGGCCAGGACACCAGCTGGTCCGACCTCCCCTGCAGGGTTGGTTGGGGGTGCGCAAAAATGCGCTCGCCGTCCGGCATATCGTGAGGAAGTGCCTGTGGCTGGGATCAACAAACGGACGTTTCCAGCGTCCGTTTTCGTTGAGAAGTGCCGCATGACGCTGCTGCATCATGATGGCGGAGAGGTGCACGGGCTGCGACGGGTGATACGCCGTGTGGGCGCATTGCGTCCATGACCACGGCGACGTGGCTTCTGGCCTAATTATGTATGGAGATGAGGTTCTTGCGCCCGAAGCCGCATCACGTTGGTCGGGCCTACCGTTTGAGGTTCGTCCACCATCAGTCGAGGCAGGTGCTGCGGCGGGGCGCTCGGGTCGATCATGGTCTGTTTCAGCGAGACCAGACGGTTCCGAAATCATCGGAATACCGTGCATAGAGAGCGTTCTCCATCGGTGATGGCGATAGCTGTTAGTCGTTGCTTTCGGCAGCTACAGGCTGGCTTTGTTTCTACTTTCGACGGTGCTATGGTGCGACGGGGTGGATGAGGCATGCCCCGACTCCCAGACGGAGTACTGCTGTCGTTACTGTCGGTGGATACAGTTGAATATCTGATAATGAATACTCTAATAATGAATATCATCTCATAATGAATAGGTCGAGGGCTCACCGCATGGGCGCTTCACCGCCAAACCTGCATCTCATAATGCATAAATCCTATAATGAATAGAAAATCGGTCGAAAACGGGCCTACCGACATTATTCATTATTAGATATTCAACTGTACGAAGATGGGCTTGGCGCGTCGTAAGCGGTGACGCAGGGGGCTGCCTTTTCCAGCGCTTTTAGCATCTGACGATCCAAGGCCCCTTAGACTTGTGGACATATCGATGTCCAATTGAATAGCCAAAGTACAAGGCTGCCAACTTGTTCGTCATAGCGTTTTGAGCCCTATAGAATCCGCAGCCGCGGGGTGTACGGCCCCCTAACGAGCATGTGGGAAATGCAAGGGTCGTCCTTCCAGGTCGTGGGGCGGCTCGCAGCGGCCACGTGCCCCCAGGTTTCGCGTCGGTCAGCTGTTTGCGGAGTGCGCCGGCTTCATCTCCCGCCGGGCAACTTGGTGAGTTTTCATGACGTTTGGTTTGATGTTTCAGATTGCTCTATGCCGAAGATGTGCATGGGAGGATTGATGTCTTGCTTAGCTGCGCTTCTACGCTGGTTGGGAGAGGAAAGCAATGCACCTCTGTAGATCCCGCTGCGGTCAACCACTGTGACTATCACGGTGATCTACCTAAACGCAACTCGCCACGTTGGCGTAGATGACTGCAGATACGTGTAGGTGCTCTGCCAAGTTGTCTGGTTGCACGGAAGCCAGATGCAGTGAGCCTATCAAGACCGTCCCGAGAGCGCCCCCGATGATAGGGCTTTCTACCGTGGCATAGCATGGCATCCTGGTATCATATTGACTGACGAGATCAGCCATACTTGATTCTGAGACCGACTGCAGTCCTCGCACCCTCTGCAGGTCCCAAAGCTTCCAATCTATCCATACGGAGGGCCTGAGACAGTGCTGTGATCATATTCAGGGTGGACGTTGGGTGTGAACGACAGCATATGATGGTCCACGTGAAAGCAGATACCGTTGAGCAGCTTTTTCGATGCGCCTGGCCATACGTATACACGACGATGGTTGTACATACTCACCTCCCAAACATAGGGAACTTCTTTTTGCTAGACGCAAGCGCTCAATAGGTGAACCTCATTGATAAGGTGTGAAGGTGTCCGAGCGCTCCAAGAATTGGCACGACGACGCGGCATTGGTTCCCCTTACTCCATAACCAGGGGTTCAGAAGACGGCATCGTTTCGTCTTGGTGGATCTCTTGCGAACCATTGGCAACTGCTATAGTACATATGTCGCTCAGCCAACGCTATTAGGAAGAGCGGCGCAACCGCCTCCGCGCGGCTGGGCCAGCTTCGCACGCGACGCGAGTGCTTGCCGACTGGTGTTCTGTGTGACCGGCAGCGGCCGAAGCGATCCGACGTGGCATTGGAAGCCGGGGAGATTCACGGTCAGCGAAAGGCTCAGCAGACTGCGCCGCCTAGGCCTTCGATCCTCTCTCTTCAGGCCGCAGGACGACGACCGCATATGCGCGCCTGCGTGCGGGTTACCTCCGGAAGCATTTGTCCCGCGAAGGTTCGCGCGAACGCCTGCTCACTGCCTCTACGATCTCTAAAATTGATAGGCGAATTGCATGCGATGTCACTGCTTGAGTAGCGAGAGGGTACCCGTGCCCGATCCGCTTGACAGGTGCAGAGGCTGGAGGACAGATGGTCGGCGTCCTCGCGAGCGTATGCGAGGCCGCGGGCGTGCTTTGGTCGGGGCCGAAGAGGCAGACCGCTCACCCGAAGGACCATTCAGTTCCTGGGCGGAGAGACTCGCTGCAAGGCACGTTGCTTCGGTCGCGGCCGACTCTGCCATGCACGCTTGCGAGTTCTTCGCGTCCTGCCAAAGCGGATAATTGTTGAGCGTCGAGCCAAGACTTGATTAGTGGTTTATATTGCGCGCGCTTTGGGGCCCAGCTCTGCAGATATTCGTGATGCTGCTAGAGTCAAATGGTCAGGCTTTGCCGCGTATATGATCTTATTGAGTTCTGCAGTGCTGAACATAGTAGGCGCTGGACGAGCTCGATGCACCGGCAGAAGGAAACCGACTCGGAGCGCCGCAGGCACTTGACCCAATTCTGCGCCTACGTAGCTTGTACAAGACCTTGTTCGCCTTGCCTTTCCTGCACCATCTTGGAACCACGTTCGACCAGCGTTCTTGCAAGTATTGTGACAGCGACATCACGTTTCATCCTTTCCTGAATTCCCAGCATCGAGCCCCGCCGAGGTATCATGGCTGCGGTATACGTACCTGTTGGGGAAGAGGCCGGAAGCCTTGACGCAGGAGTGCATCGTTTTCCCAAACACATTGCCCACATGAAGGGATGTGTCAGACTGTACGTAGCTGGCTTGCGAATCCCCGGACATGCACTACAATAACGTGGCCCGGCAGGTCCCGCGAACTACGTATGCAAACCAGACTCATCGAGGGTCGAATAGTCGGCGTACACGGCGCGTGTGGTGTACTGGTTGCCTTCCGTCAACCTTATGGCCTCTCGGAGAAACCCAGCTAGGTTTGAGCTGGGTCCCTCAATAGACTCAGCGGCCGTAAATTTCAGAGCGTCAGCCATACTCCGCGTTCTCATTGACAGTGGATGGGAGATAGAAGCAGTGATTTACGTTACCCGCCCGAGGAGTCTGTGGACCGCCCGTCGATAGTGAAAGGTGCCGGTCCACATCATTCCCCGCGAAGCATCCTGCTGGCGGGTGCATGTCAAATGGGTGTCGTAATATCAGTTATTCGTCTGCGGCGTCGTGTTGGAAAGGGTTTGACAGAACTATCGCCAGCATTTAAACACCGGCCCCTTGACGTCCTTGGTATCGTGAGGGAGCGTCAGCGTATGGATGCCGGTTCATGCGTTGCATGCGCATCTCCGCATGTGCGAAGCCTTGACCGCGAAGACGAGCGCAGGGTATCTTGATCGAAGAGCTTCGTGGCGCAAGGAATGTCTATTCGAATGGGGCTCCCCGAAGGTCTTCCGGACGGTACATAGAGAGATATGCCGAGGCAGCGGACGAGGTGAGAAGATTGCGTGCTATCAATTTCCAGATGAGGCAAGCGGGACACGCCGGTGAATTCAGCGTGATGACCCTGCATCGTATGAGGTACTTGGGGGATGGGCCAGAAGTTCTGGTCAAATGCCAGCTCTCATCCCATCAGAAAGCAGTCCATCCTTTTCACACAGGCCTGACTGATATCCACTAACGGGGGCTTGCGGACGTCTTGAGGCCCTTTCACCCTCAGCCCGCACCAAGCATATGCTCGGCTGTCCGGAGCGAGGCAATAGTATTGTACTACGGACGTATCACACGCCTTACAGAGTGCCGCGAGCAGACGTCAGAGAAGGGCACGAGGGCGAAGGAAGGCGCGGTTGTGTGGACCTACATCCTCATATGATAAGTGAACATAATGAAATCAGACGTGAGCACAACGCATGTGGCGTGCGGCGGGCGCCATGGAGTGACTAGAGAGAATGATGGTGTTTCGTGCGTGAGAACGGAGAACAACGGTGGAGATAATCCTCTTTCCCTTCAGACACATGGCGGAGGTCCCGGAAGCTCAGAAGCTCCCCTATGGGAGAGTCCGGGCAGCTTCTGGGGAGCGGTACGTTATGAATTTAGCTATCAAAGGTAATGGCTACACCGGGACGAAGGTGAGCTTAGGTCTCTGGCCGCACTAGCACGGTGATCTGAGCGGGCGGCGGTCCACACCAAGAGCTTTGGAGCATGGATACGGGTCGATGACAATCAGGAGGATGAAGAGCATGCTTTGCATACTGGAGTGCAAGCGAACCAACGTTTATCATCGAGCCCAGCGAGCTGGAGAGCCTGAGGAAGCGCGGCACGACAAGCTGGGGCGATGGTGCTGATGTGCACAGTAACCCTAATTTAGGCTTCAAGGTGCACGAACAATTTTTCCGGCGGCCCACGCTAGTCCCTTCTCTTCTGCGTTTCGCCACGACGCAGGAGCCAATTTCTAGGGCCAGTCGCCGCCTCGGCGCAGATCATCAATGAGGCATCAGACCCTGACCTTGTCATCGCGGACAGCTCTCGATTTCTTGTCCGGCGCCTGGGCAAAAGCGCATTCCAATCTTTGCCCTGGGTCGTCCTGTCGCAACGGATCACGCAGGCAACGTCGTGGACGAAGGGACGAATGGGACTAGGCAATGGGGCGGTGGAGCCGTCACCAACGGAGTCCGCCCCCGAAAGGAGGGACCAAAGAAAACCCACAAAAAGACGAGAAAAAAGAAGAATTTATTCATTAGCCGAGAGGATTCTTCCGTGACGGCGCAGACATGCGACTGCAACGACCGCACAACGAGATCTCCAATCGGGGATTCCAGGCCCGATTTGCCATGATCCGCAACAACAATCAACAGAGGTCTCCTTTTCTCGACACTCCCATGCACAACCTCTCCCATTTCGTTTTTAAACCATGGACGTTCCCCATCATGTCTCCCGTCCTTACGAGTCCCCTCCTCAACCATACCCACTGATGGCCGACAGTCTTCATTAGTGAGTACTCTTCTATTCATCCTTGCACTTTTCCGTATCTCACCACCTGATTCTAGCCCCGCGACCCCAACCCACCATTACGTTCCTAATGCATACTACGCTTCCCAAATGCACGCAGGCGCTGCCCACATGCATGTGGTTGCACCATCCACTGTGCGTCAAGACCCCGCGTCCCAGCGCAAGCGTCCCAAGTACACTCGTAGCAAGACTGGCTGTCTGACCTGTCGTGCGAAGAAGATCAAGGTGAGCTTATGCGCTGGTGCTCGTCGCGTGCTCTTCCGCTCACACTCGGATGTAGTGCGACGAGACGAAGCCTACTTGCGTGCGTTGTAGTCATGGTCAGCGGGAGGTACGTGTTTCATCAGTCTGGACGCGTCGTTGTCGCGTTTGACACACTAACGCTCATGTAGTGTACCTGGCCGGAAGGCGTCCCGACTCGCAAAAAGCCCACGCCTCGTCGGGAGCCTCCTTCCCCCATCGATGGAGTGGAGACGCGACCTTCGACGGCAGGCTCGTCAGGCGTGTCAGAGGCCGCTACTCCTCCCACGCGTGGTCCGACCCCTCCACGACGTGGCGAGCCCGTGGAGATGGGTATTCCTCCTATGGTGTCTCGTCGCCACAGGTCTGTGTGCATCGTCTACTCTAACCATTCCTTATTCTTACACGTACGTTTGCAGTGATCCTCATCTCAATCTTCCCGTCGCCGTTAACGATAATCGTCGCTCTGCGTATGTTTCATGTGTCAGTACGGTGCTCTTCGTATTGACCATCCATTCCAGCATGAACACAGTTCCGACCTCATCTCATGGATACCCTATGCATCATAATAATACCCATGCTCTTCCTGCTATTCCTGAAATTGCTGCATCTTATACCAATCAACATCAATACCTCCACAGCTACCCTTCTCATCACTATTCGCAATCGCATTCTAGCCACCTTCCCCGCATCACGGCCCATCATGACATTCCTCACTCCCGCGGCACAGAGAGCTCCTCTCCTGATTCCCAGTGGTCTTCCCCTCAACTCCTGACACCGGTCGACCCGATCGAGCCCTACGTGAGTCAAGCAGGCCTTTCTGTCATGAGTATCTCCTAACCATCCTGCTGTGTTCTAGTTCCCGACGCCTCAGGAGAGAAACCTGGTGGGGTCTTCCTCGCACGCTACGCATCCCGTTAGATATCAATGAACGAGTGTTTTGTTTTGCTTTCCAAAGATCCGTCATTACTGCGACAATGCGCTTAGCATAATCATGGCCTACCCGTCTGAGAACCCTGTGTTGGCCGCTAACTTTCAGTTCATTTTCGACGGCGTGCGAGGTACGGACTCCGCTGTTGAGTCGCTACGCTTGGCATTGCTCGGCGTCGCCGCCGTACACCAGTCGTTCCTACTCTCCCGAAGCGGCGTGTCGTCACTTGCGGCCGACGAAGCCTTGCACGTTGCGGACACGTTCCGTGCAAAGTCTCTGCATCAACTCACGTCGGCATGCGCCACACCAGAGGGAGCCCACAATGATGCGGCCTTGGCGGCGACAGTTGCGATTGCTCTCATCGACGTGAGTGATGCAGTCCGCTTCTTGCGTGATCGTGAGTCAGTGAGCGCCTGCATATGCAGATCTTCTCGGGAGGACGACACTGGGCAAAGAGTTTGGACTTTGCGAAGAGCTTGGTGAAGTCGCGAGGTGGACCGGGCCTGCTGTTGGCGCGGAGCAGAAGGCACAAGACCAATTCTGTGATTGGCGTGTCTCGTGCAAGGCTGCTGCTGGAGATAGTAGCCGTATACGAGCTCTTCGGTAGCTTTCCCTGATGTGATCCTCCGTTCCGGCATACCTTGCTGACATTCATGCTCCACGCAGGATGTCTCGCGCAAGGCAAAGCGCCTAGTCTGCTGAACATCGATTGCTGGTGGTCCGTCCAACACCCTTTTCGGCTGCTGATACTCTTTGACGCTGTCCTGCAAGGTTGACTAAGACGAACGCTCATGACAACGTGTCCTACATTGACAAGGTGTTCGGCATGTCAAGGGAGTTCATCTTGGTCCTCGCCGAGGTGCGACGAGATGGCTGTCCCTGGCGCTGTAAACATTGTTCATTCTAACTGGTTCTAGGTCGCAACATTGGTCGCGCGTGTTCTTTGCCCCTCTGCATCCACGATAACGGAATTGTCTGAGAGCGGGGACCTGCGGAGCGATCATGATGCTCAAACCCGAGTCGCGGAGAAGCTCTACAGATCCCTCGAAAACTGGCGGAGCGTGGCCAGCAACGTTCATGAGCGGGTGCTAGCGGGCAACTGCGTATATCGGCATGCAGCTCAGGTTCGTGCTTCGTCGAAAAGATCGGCGCGTTTGACTTGGACTGACGCTGACGTGCGCTTGGCGTATCAGATACTCCTGCTCCGAGATGTACTGAAGGCGCCTCCTTCAGACGCGCTAGTGCAAGAGCATGCGAACACGATTCTGACGCTCTGCATGGATTGCTGCCAGAACAGAATGGGGGTAGAGTAAGTGATCCATCGCCCAATGTGCCCGCCTTACTTTGCATCTGACGATCATTGGGCAGTCTCACTTGGCCTGTCATCATCGCAGGGACACAGCTGTATGGCATAGATCGTGCGAGAGTTCTATCTATCTTCGAGCTGTTCAGGTGCGAAACAAGCTTCTTCTCCAACATTTCAACAAATCTGACTCCCGCGCTCCGTCGGCCCGAACACCTGTATCTGCAGGACGCAATGTAATAGTGCTTTATTTGTGTCGCCCCCAGTCGAGGGTACTCATACGTACCGATATTGTCCAGGCTGCTATGAGATTGAGACGTCCGAACTCATTGTACGGCAGGTGAGGACTCTGCATGTAACGTAGGTTGTGACATCTCGTTAACTCCTATTGCATTCACAGGTATGGGAGCGGCTCGACACGAACCATCCTAATGCAGACTGGCGCTCGGTAATGCGGGATAACAACCTCGATGTTCTCATTCTCTAGTTGTCTTTTCAGTGTTCTCCGTGCTGGTTTCCTGTATAGAGCGGTGTTTGTAAGTTAGACCGGGCAGCTTCAAGGCATTGACTGTATGTTTAGTATCTAGATCGTACATCTCTGATCTTCCTTGGCCTAGGGCAAAGTCATGGAACATGTACTAATCGTCCCTCGACCCTCTGCCAGAACTTAACAATCTCCAGCCCACCATGCTCAGCGGCTCAGCCACTTGTGATCGCAACGAGGTACGTCCCATCCTACAGCGAATTTGCAAGCCCCAGGGTTTGTGTTCGCCGCGCGTCCAGGGAGGCCTCTTTTGCGAGTTACGCCAGCACCTTTAGTCGTGTACGGGAAAACCGCAATTGGGATTCTCCGAAGATAGAGTCGCTTTCGGACTAGGCATCGGCCTCCTCCCACGATGCCACGACCCTTGGTACTCTGTCCGGGCACGGGGGACGCGCGTGCAACGCATTGTGTCTAGAGGGGACGTATCGACGCCGTGTGGCTCGCATTCTAGGCAGACTTTCCGGATATCCTAATGAGATTTCCTATCGGCGTAGGAATAAACTGTATAATATGGTTCTGGTGGGTAGACGTCCTTCTGAAACGTTCTCCGGCTTCGTTCTTCTATAGGGACCTGCCCAATGCGTCAAGATCTGATAGAGGCCCCCAGAAGCGCTGGTATGCCTCGTCGCCACGGCTATCTCAATAACGTATGGTGGGTCGATTCCTCATCCGTGGGCGGCTCCGCGCTGGAAATTTTCTTCTATGTTACGCGTAAATGAGGGAAACTCGCCTTGCGCAAAGAGCCCGAATCCGAGCCACTACCTGTCCCTGCTTAATCGGAGGACTGTAGAATGCAGTCCCTTCATATCGTCGGGCTGCTCGGCTCAGGACTCGGACTGCTCTAAAGGAGTGGTTGCAAGGTTATCACTAGGGATGGTCTCGCCGGTCACTCTCCGCAGCCTTAGGTGCCAGCCTGCCGCCACATGCCACGCCCAGTCCCATGACCATGGCGGGCGACGGATAGGTGCGACCTAGAAGTAAGATCTCCTTCATCGCGCCGCACTCCCAAGATAGAAGTTCCAGGTGTTTAGCGTAGGTACGGATAGTCGGAGTCAATACGAAGGGCCGATAGGTATCATGTTCAGAACATAAGTTATGGCGTAACGGGACGCTTCGTCGAAATAAGCAGTAACAAACTAACTTGAAAGCCACGAGTACCATGATGTCCCTTCTCTTTCAGAGATCTCCGCCAGGCGTCGCGGGAGGCACTCGGCTGGTTCAGTCCATCCTCGAGACAGGGCGCCAAAGTTCTGGGTGACATGACATGTGGCCGGTGTTCACCGCCTTTTGAGAGGACAGGTAAGATCACGGGGGCCGTATAATGAATGGGGACGACAGCAATGTTTCAAATGCGTGGGCAGCCTTAATTGAGCGCTAACGTGCATGATGATGACGCGAGATTGTTTAGTCCGCAACTGGCAGGAGACACCGTGACGTCGATGTCAGGCCTCCGTGGGACCATCGTGGCATAAACTACGGTGGTGTGAGACAGCATGAAGTTTCTTGGAAGGCATAGAGGCCTGCGCTTACCACCAAACATTTCCGTACAATGTGAAGAGAAGGTAGCCGTAACAAGGGCTAGCAGTGGTATAGGTTTGTGTGGCGACAGACAATGTGTACTCACTTGCGTGGAGGCTTGCAACAGGGATAGTTTGGTAATAACGTAAAGTGGAAGCACTGTGAGGTTGCTTCGCGTCACATTCGACACACACCCACACCAGTGCGTCAGACGTCAAACCTTCCACAAATTCCGCCGGTGCAGGTCGGTCGACGGGCCAACTCGTAGATATGTAAAGTTCTCATACTTACGCGAAGAAGCGTCGGCCTGTAGTAGGGTCCATACTATCGGTGTGTGTCCCTCTCGTACAGAATTGCCTTATGTACAGGACTAGGTGGGACCGCAAGAGAGAAGGACCTGCCCCTTGGTAACATAAGTACCTTGAGTGCTTATGATGGACACCTGCTGCCTCCGGATTTGAAGCTACCAATACTGATAGGACCAAGCACATCAATGTCTCTCAATGGAGAGCTACGTCAATGTGACACAGACTATGGGCTTGGCAGGCGGGCTTGATGTAGGCTCAGGACAGCACAGGGAGCTTGAGGGAAAGACCTGCACCTGACGACGCGTAGGATCGTCGAGAGTAACGAAGGCTCAACGCAAGGACGACAAATGGCTGTGCCAGCTGGCAGATGGAGTCAAGTACATGCCCCTGGCACCAATTCTTGACGGCGTGGTGAAGAGATATCATATTGCGCTTTGGAGTTACACTCACTGCGGCATAAGAGCGCTCTAAAGGGGTTCACCCAAGGCCGCCGAGCATCACCGTAACTGCGCAAATGCGCGCGAGAAGGGGAGGGGGCCTTCCCAATCATCAGTACCTCCAATAACAGTATAATGATCGAAGCCGGGCGAGGCAGTCCCGCCCAGCGTGGTCTGGCTTCGGGCGGGATGGGCTGGCACAGATCCGGTCGCCACGATACGGGCGCGAGCATTGGCGCGGTCGCCCAAAAGAGGACGTAAACTGAGCGGGCCCGAGCTTGCTCGATATGTACCATGTTGTCAACCCGATGCGCTCGGTCCCGAAATGAGGCCGGATTGGATTAGGGCTTCCACAAGCTTCACAAATTGGCTGCGCCTACTGATCGGGCTGTTGCGGTTTATCCTGACAACCGCTCCTGCGATTGTGAGAGACAGGGTCTTGGCAAAAAGCACTGCTCACCTGCTTACTAGTGGTATTCCTCACCTACGCAGTAACCATGCATAGGTCTGCGAGTGGGAATTGACGGATGTGCTGTGTACTATTTGGTGGTGTACCGGCCGAATGCGCCAGCGGTGCGTGTCCTCTCTCGTAGGATCCGGGAAGGTACTAGAGAGGGCGTCAGAAGTCAAATGTCCAAAGCCTAGGTGCGAAGGTTTACTTGTCAGACTGCAGCGAATGTCTGATGCCCAAGGAGACTTCCGCACGGAGAATAGCGCCTTCGCTGCGTACGATGTCGTTTCCACTCCTTAGAACGCAAGCAGAGTAAGGTCAACGTAACGACCTGACTTAGACGTAGCCATGTACGCAGCGACACGGCGAACGACGTTCAATCACCCTTGAGTGCAGCCAAGTTCTAACAGTAGACGACGGATGCCGCAGTTGCATCGCATTCGGCCATTCACCGATACCTCCAATTGGGCACGTTGAAGACGGAGACGCTTTGAAGCCAGGGATGTAGTGACATGTGTAACACGGAGGTGAGATGCATTTTCAGACTGGGAGACATCGATGCACAAGACGCTCGAGAGCCGGGTACAATCCCAGGGCGTAATGGCCCGGCGGCATGCATGAGCACATACGTTCTGGTACATCGGACACAGTACAGAACGATTCCCGCTCGCCGCGTCAGACAGCCCCGATAACCTGAGACCATACACAGGGCTCTGACGCGGTCGCGTTCAGAAGTTGCATTGCATATCAGCATAATCGCAGGACCTCCTAGAGCGAGTGTCTGACAGGCTGAAACTATGGCTGAGGCACAGTCAACGGGCCACAAACCCGTCCGCCAACCGTGAGAGGCCCGGAAGAGAGGGCAAGTATGCTCTCCCACAGTGCAGCAAGCCCTGCGGTGCATCATTTAGTCCGTTAGAATGGTGCCAAGCTTGGGTCAGCTCTTCACCGCCATAGCTAGGGCCACAACATGTATGGGAAGGCGCAAGGTGCACTACAAGAGTGAACGCTCACTGGCAACGTGGACGTATCCTGCATGACCTTTGATGAGTAAGACCTTATCCCATGGTCCTTTCCCCATGCAGCGTGTCCCATGAGGGACTGAGAAGCGAGTTCTAGTACTGCGCATCGAGGCGCGTGCGACTGCGTCTCTGCTCAGGCGGCCCAGGAGCCCTGTTACATCCGTTCGTCGCTCGGCATCGCCTTCTCTATGTTGAACCTCTTCCCACTGCGCACGGTACCAGCACATACGGCCTCAAACAGCCTCTCTGTATGACACTGTGCAACGCGCTCAATAGCAGCCGACGGAGGATCAACAATTTGACTATCGACCAGCGACCGACTGCTTGGCAAGCTTCCGTGCAAAGCAAGGATGGCATGATATTTGTACCTTGTGCTGACGAGAGTATGTGGCTGAGAAATCGTAGGCAGCTGCGGAACGGGCCCGCGAGGCGAACTTTGGCTAGCAGCGCGGGCTTGGTACGTCAGCACCCCGCGTCATATGCCGACCTCAGCATGAGCGTCGTCCGCGTCTGAATGACTGAGAGAAAAGATGTGTCGAGAGACTGGATGCGAACCTGATCGTAGCGCACGTGAATGGCCGTCATAACAAGGGCCGGTGGCCCAGTAGAACGCCGAGGCGGGTAAGTTGGTCGACGTCGAGGGAAGAGTAGCCACCAGTAGAGTGGTGTGTACGGTGTTCGCGTGTAGTGTGCTTGCTGCCGCGCAGCCCGTCTTCCGCGAAACCGCCTGTCGCATCAAAGCTGATAGCTGGTTTCGCGGTCCCCGATACCATGTAGTCTGCAATTCTGTTTTGGGAGAGGCCGTCCGCTGGTGCGACGTCGGCCATCTGTACGATCGCCAATAATCCCATCGGCGGACCATGTCTGCTATCTGCACAGGTGAGATGAGGTCCGATGGCCGTCCGTAGTCCTGGGGCTTCCCGCTCCGAGGACTGTCACCGTCCCGGGTGGGCGATAACGGAGGATCTGCGTGCCAGACATGAGCCTTTCGAGATTTGGCCTTCTCAGCGTACCTCAACGCCAATACAGCCATAACTGATCCGTCTGCCACGTCTCGTTTCGACGTGCGTACTATGTGCCGGCGGAGGCGTTGACTCTTCAGGACGTGCGAGCCACCATTCCGGGTCGGGGGCGAGAGCCTACAGATATCCAGCATAGTCCATCATGGCGCGTCTCAACGCGCTAGGATGACCCTCACAATTCCATGCGCGCTCGAGCCCGCCATCGAGAATGCAAGAGTAAGGTCTATAGTGGTTCCGGACGGTGCCTCGGCGAGGCGCGGCGACGTCGCTCCAGAGATAGCAGCTTGGTCCGGGACTTCTATGGTGCAATCTGGGTCAACCGCCATATTCTGAGATGGACGATGCGGTAGACGTCCGTAGCAGCGGCAGCAACGACCTCCTAGAAGGCGGATGCGATCATCGAGGGTGCAGCTACAGCACAGAGCTGCGGTCGGCGTCCGCGCTACGGTGTTTCGAGCGCTAGACATACGCATGACATGCGTGCGACATATGACGCGCTCTAGCTGGGTGACTCGGACGAGCGATGTCGAGGTACCGTGTACGGGACAGGCCCCGCTCAGCCTACCGACAATGCCGCATTCTGTGTCAGGGACTCGACTGACAAACAGTCGTATGTATGTGCTAGGAGGTCCCGTGCAAGGAGCATCATACAACGTGATCTCTACAACCCCGCGCACGGTACCCGTGCAGGAGCGTCCCAGAAGCCGGCAGCGCAGGGACTCCGAGGGCCACACGCCGCCATAAGTTATAACGTTCCCCATGCCATGGTCCCGGTACCACTCCGACGACTTGCTGTGAGTAAGGGTGGCGAGCGACCGCACGTGCATATCCGGCGCGGATGTATTGTGAGCGTGGGTGACTCAATTCCGAAGGCGACGTGCTGATTAGACATATGCGGTGAGCGGCGCTCGCGCTCGGTCCACACATCGTCCTCGGTTCTGATGCAAGATGGAGAAGGTGCCGTTGGACACTGGGCACTTGGCAGATAGATGGGAAGCACGACGGTCGGCGACGATGAGGGGCAACATTGGTATTTGAGTTCAACTGACCGCGACTCCGTGCCTCGGGAGAAGCGAGATGGATTGTTATAATAGGACGTCGCGATCGCGCGCACAATATTGCGCGCACGCTACAGGGGCGAGAACGGTCGGAGTGACGTGCGAGAAGCGCGTCGGAATATAAGGGCTAAGCTACTACGATGGCGAAGAATGCGCTAGGGGATAGACTTCGGGCCTAATGCAAAGTGTGCGGTTATGAAGATCGCACGGATATGACTGCGCGAATCGGCCGGGAGACCGAGCGAGGAAGAGAAAAGCGCATCTGACGAATGTGCGCAATCTGTTATGGGACGAGCACGGGCAGCTCGCAGCAAATGCGAGACGGCGTACGAGACCGAGGGAGCATAGAGGAGGCCCTGAAGCAGCACAGCAGCAACCCTTGGCCTATCGATGCTGTGCTCGAAGTCCTGGACGATTGGGCACGCTGGCTGCACCACGCAGTATTCGGTATGGCACTAGCGGTGCAACTAAACGGCAGGATGTGGATCAGTAGATCAGGAGATGGTTCGCAGAGAAATTTGCATAGTGAAGGTCTAAGGACTGTATCTGGTAATACGCGCTTGCAAACCGTAGTCGAGCGGTTACTTCGTTCCACAACACACCGAGTGCGGAAGAATGTCATCTGCGGCGAGATGGTTGTCTGGGAGCGTGTCATGATAGAGTAGATACGAAGGCAGGAGAGGGGCGAAAGATAGAGACAATGGAGACACGCGGGAACAATGCGCAAGATAGACGGATGAGCGACGGGAGTGGCCGGACGCAATGCTAAGTCAGACTGAGCAATAACGTATTTGAAGGGCGCATTGCGGTGTGCCGAGTCATGCGGAAAAATTGCAAGTGAATCAGACGCGGACAGGCTATGATATGACGAGGAGAGCCGTTGGCTAGATATGGAGATGTCGGAGAGCAGGGTGCGTGCGGTGGACGATGCGCAGCGCGGTGATGAGAAACGGGCGAGGGTGCACTCGCTAGGAGCGAGAGAACGGAGGTGGGAGGGATGCTGGGGAACACAGCCTGAGAGCGGAGGTCGCTGCCTGTGCGAGAGATCCGGAGAGGAGGAGGCAGCAGCCTGAGCCGGTGACTCCTGCCTTTGTTTGGCCCTGTTTGGCGGTGGCTGTCGGCTTGCTCGATATATCCACTTGACTCTCTTCTCGTCCTTCAGCTGACTCTGACAACGCCCCTTACAACTACCGCCGCGACGTCTCTCGTCGCCCCCGACGCCCTCAGCTCCTCTGTCTGCACTTGACCACCTCTATCTACCACCTCTATCTGAATTCCCAAGTCCCATCGCCATCGCTCTCCTGGAGCCCGTGCTGATCTAGGCAACGAGCTCTCCGCCCGGATCGTCCATAGTCTTCGACTAGGACATCCGAACCGCCCATCAAGTCTTCACAATGTATTTCATGCCCACAAACAGATACCCCAAACAGTCGCTTTCCGTAACCGCCTCCGCCTTCGCCTCAGTCCCCGCCTCCGTCTCCGTCCCTATCTCTTCGCTTGCTTCTCAGTCTGCTTCAACTATCTTTATCAACCAGTACAACTTCACCGCTTCTCATGCTACTTCTACCTTGTGAATCATAATCGCCTAATCCTGGTCTCTGCTCCCCACTCCGTCACCTGTGGCCCTTACGACAATGTCTATCCATGCTGTTACCCACTCCTTTCCCCATCGCGGTCCTGGTGCATCACGCACCAGGACCCGCTGGCAACCTTATGCTTCCAATCTCGCGCTATCAGGCATCTCAAGGTCCCCCTCAGTCTACCTCCACACTCCTGCCTCGTCCGTTTCATCAGCCTCACCCCAATCTATCCACCTCCCACCAATCAGCGACACAGAACGCCTCAAGGCCTGTCTCCAACCGCCACCACTCGCTAGTGCTTTGCGGGAGAACCTCAGGGCAAAATATGCCGCAAAACTCGTCGGTGAGTGGCACTATCCCTATCTTCTCTGTATCGTTTGGCTGCTCGAGGCGCTTGCCCCCTCTGCCTTCATCGGATGTCGTCTCTATTCTATCTATTGTCGTTTCAGTCGACTCAAGTGTCTTTGTGTGCACCAGATCAAGCAGTCAAAACGTTGACCGAGACTTGGCATCCCGACGATATCCCTACCGTTTTCACCGCCAGTGGCCGCGAGGCTCTCTGCGCTCAGCCCGAACCGTCCAACTCACACGCGGGATGCTCTGCATCCCCTCCGTTGATCTCGACCGGCTTCTCGGCGCTGTTCGCTGGCGACAATGCCCAACTTCCCTCGCCCGTCACCCCGACAAGCCACCAGACGCCCCTTCCGACAGGAGACAGGTGCGAGTCATACTCGCAAGCGCCCGAAGGCTCCGTCGGCAGCAATCTAATCCCCATAAAGGGATTCGTTCACGAGGTGCTCCGCCGGTCCCGAACCTCCACCGGAGTGCTCCAGACGGCCCTTTGCTACCTCGAAGCTGTCCGATCCAAGGTCCCGGAACTGCTCCGAAAGGAGAAGACCCGGCCGACCTCGGAATCCGCGACCTTCGAGGAGCCACCCGAGCCGCGAATTGTGCAAGGTGTCTTCGAGGACGAGGTGTTCACTTCGGCACCCTCCGGCACTCCCGACAACACCGCCGGACCAACGCTCGAAACGATCCGAATTGGCGACACCGTTCTAGTGGGCGACATCGGCACCGACGGTCCCCTTCGACACTCCGGGTCGGCCGGCCGCGGCCAAGACGAATCCGCTCTCCCTCCTCTCCCACCCCTGCCTTCTCCCCTCTGCTGTCCTCGCCGCACTTTCCTCGCGTGCCTCATCCTGGCCTCGAAGTTCATGCAAGATCGATCCTACTCCAATAGGGCCTGGGCTAAGCTAGCCGGTCTTCCTCCGAGAGAGATCGGCCGGTGTGAGCGCGCGCTCGGGGAGGCGTTGGAGTGGCGCCTTTGGGTAGGCAAGCTTCCTGCGTCGTCTGCGGCGACGTCCGGAGCGAACGTAGGTAGGACGGTCTCACGCACGAGGAGCGAAGGCGACGTTCTCTACGGGTCGCGTACTTGTACGCCTTCGTCTACTGCGGCGTGGGCGACTACGTCTGCTGCGCCTGTAGCGTCCTCGTCAGCCCATATCTTCCTCAGTATCCCTCCTCCGATTCCAGCTCCAAGGATCGGAATGCGTGGCTTGTCGCGCAGTGCAACTGTCCCTGCAATTGGAGCCGACCGCAGCTCTACCTTGGTGGACCCCTTCTTCGTTCCGACTTCCGACCCCACGGGTTACTGCTACGAGGCAAGAGAGGCGCCCAGATCGGGTTACGACACTTCGTCCCAAATGGACGTGGAGCCGCAATATGAGATCTCGCCGTCGCTCTCTACGCCGACCCTCTCCTACTCGCCTATGTCCTCCGCATCTTCATCATCCGATGGCTCCGAGGATAGGACCATCCAAATGTCGATGTTCCTGGATCTACCGACGCCGGCGATGTCTACCGGGAACAATCTTGGGCCTTGGGTCGCCAACATCTCCAGCTACACTCCATCAGATCCGGCTAATCCATGCGGTTCATTCAGTTCGATTCCAGCATATTCTTACGTCAACCCTGCAAATCCTACGTACGCGGCCGACATGGACGTTACGGAGGCTGCTGCGAGGTCGACGCTTCCTACGTTCGACTTGAGTGGAGTGAAGCAAGTTCCTAATGCGTTGCCGTCGTTTGCGGAGATGTTTTCTAATCCTGGCGCTTTCGATAATGGGACTCAATAGCGGTGCTCCTGTCTCCCTAGTCCCCTGTGGGGAAAGGGGGGAGAGGAACTCGACTTTATCTTATTGGTACGGATCGTATCGGTGCTCTCGCCTTTCCTGCCTGGACGTTCTTACTTCTGTGTCATCGCATATTCTTTCTGCAACATACTGTCGTCCACTGCCTTGCATCGATTCTTCTTTCGGTGGTTTGGCGTGGATAGCCCATTGTCGTTTTTGGCCCGTGATACTCTCCCTGATTCTCATATGTCTACGTTTGTCTCTACGTGTCCCGGTATCTGTAGTATTCCCTCCCGTCCGAATCTCTTTGCTGACATTGTACTCACATCTCCTGTACATAGATATGTCTTCCTTCCTCTATGCACCATACCACGGCGTATGCGCACTCACATTATCCCTAGGACTCATCGTTCGGGCCCTCGCGATGGGCTCCTACGGCGGCTCCCGCGCTCGCGCGGTCTGAGCTGCCGTGTTGGGTTTATGGATGTGGGAGTGCGGGATTGACAGCTCCGAGGCCGTACATCCGTGGACCGTGGATCCGTGGCGCGTTCCGGGCCTGGGCAGGACAGACACCTCGGCGGACCTTCGCGTCGCGTTCGAAGTCTCCTCCCGTGGCTTCCGGCGCACGCGGCTCCCGGTCGCGCTGCCGCCGCCCCTTCTCGGCGACGAGGACGAGGGGCGGGGCGCGTCGCACGGCGGACCTTGGCGTTCGGCAGCAGACATGCAGACATGCGTGCGTGGCAAGTACTCGACGAATGCGCTGGTCGCAACTCCAGGCATGAGGGTACCCGCCGATACTGCGCGCGGCAGGGTATTCAGGGAGACCATGTTCGACGTTCAACGTCGGACCCTCGACGCTCAGCTGCTGCGGCCTGTTCGAAGTAGCCAGGAACGCAACGCTATGCGGCCGTGGACCCTGGGCCCGTGCGCGCCGTGCCGCGAAGCTCTCCTGTCATCGCCGTTCGCGGTGTTTCAGGTCACCAGACCGTCAGCAGCATAAGATACATACAGCACCCCCGAACCGTATCGGACGTCCGCCTTCACGGGAGCCCGAGCTGGCCGTCCGTCCGTGTCTTGACAGCTGCAGGGGCTGCGAACCGCAAAGTGCGAAGTCTAGTCTGGACGGTTCGCCGGATCCGGGCCCTGTCGGTCTACCGCGTGCATAAGCTTCGCATTCGCAGGTAGCCTTCTGTCCGCGTTATCGCGCCGCGTTGTGAGAACTGACGGACCTCTTTGTCGGTCAGTTCGCGACGTCTCGGCCGCGCAGGACGCCGTGTGGGCGGAGAAGATCTGTCGAGGTATGCTGCTTCTGCGCGGGGTGATGTGTACTAACCATCTATTCGCTCGTATCCCTCATTTTCTATCAGCCGAGTCGGCCGGTATGGGTCCCAGCCGCGGATTGGGCAATGGCGAATGGACCATCAAGACGTCTCCGTTGTTGTTGCATGCATCTCGCTGATATCTTGTCAGCGCAATCGCGACTTTGGATGCGCCCAGCAATGCAATCCGGGATTACACAGTACCGAGCCTTGTCATCTTCGGTGACCTATATGATGGAACTGGCTTCGTTTCGGCAGAATCTCACCGTCCTGTTACTGACTCCTCTGCATCGTAGCTCGAAGTATCCGTCTGCATCTCGGGGCGACTCCTGTTCATTCATCCCCACTCAAAGCTGTTGACGTAACCAGACGTATGCGTCGTTCCTCTACCACAAGTCGTCGATTCAGTGCTCACTTGTTTTGTCCATGCAGACGCGAACGCTTGGTCTTGTACACAGCGCGCGCGGATGACAGGTCCAAGGGAGGATGCCCCGGAATGTATTCGCCCCACACGTTTCATCTTCGATTACTCGTCTTCTCGGCATCCCCTGGTACAAAGCCGACCCTCCGATACATACCAAGTGCATACGGGCTCACTTGGGCCATACATGAAAAACTTGCCATTCCTCCGCACTCTGAGCAGGTAGCTCGATGATCAACTCTTGGTGGACGACGTTCTCTCGCGGTCCAAGCAGTCTTGGCTCGTGGAGTCTGGATACAAAGCTATCTTTGCAAGACCAAAATCGACACCAAGTCATCTTCGCAAGACCGGCGGTCCCGTGTCGCATCGCTACTCAGGAATTCACACAGCACGAAGGTCTCTACCATCAGAGATACAATGTTCAACCCGCCAAACAAAGCATGAAGGCGTCGTAACGCTACGTCGGGGCAATGGGCGACGTTCTTCGTTGCCTCCGTATCACGAACCTTTCTTTTACCCAATCTGACGACGCATATCGGTATTGAGCGACGTTTGTTTGCATCGCGAGCACCTGCAATGTCAATACATACGATTCTATGCGATCCGCTCGAAAGCCGAATTGTCGGGCACAAGCAGGGAAAGGTCGATACCCAACCAATGACCACCATTCATACACTCTGCAGACTGCCTTCCCGAGTGCCATCGCGTCTGCATGGAGTGCTCGTGGAGGGTTCAGGACTGTGTTCCCTTGACCTTGGCCCTACGCTAGGCTGCAGAACCAATAGCCCCGTTTGCCAGGCGGATTGTGACGAAGTGCCGGCAGCGCTCTCGATCTCTTGGAGGTGTACGAGGAACTTGGAGATTAGGATTGCTGTTATGCTGACGTAGGATCTTCTCAGGTCAAAGCATTCTGAATTGGGCGGGGCACATACGGAGTGGTGAAGATCGGGATACCGCTCGTGGGGTATCTAGGGGACTGCCCCAAAATCTACAGTCCGGATCGTAGGCATGAGCCTACAAATGACTCTCCTCGATTCGATTCTTGTGCACTCACAGAGTACAGACTGAATATAAGATGGACGGCGTTGAAAGGGACAAGAACCCTGCACCAATCATACTGAGTTAGTAGCTGTAGGGTGCGGATCGTCTGCTCGATTCTTCACAGGAAGTATATTGTTCCTGGAGAGAGATATTCAGAAAGACGGAAAGAGGTGGGATGGGATGAACTCGTACCATCTCGCAACAGAACGCTCGCATATGACGGCCTGTAGCGGCGACGAACGGCGGTCGAGAATAGCTTCATCTGTCGACGCATTTGACGCCAAGTGACAACCACGACAATGATGTCAGCAACAGAAAGGCACATCCTAGAGGCGATCACAACTATGGAAAGGGGACCTCAGCTAGGTCCGTGAGTTAGCCCATCTCACGTACGGCTTATAGGATATAGAGCATAAGCGAATGTAAAAAGACATGCATGACAGGTGTGACGCACATCTTCTGAGCTTCTGCCGAGGGGACTACAGGCGCGAATCTACCCTGACGGACGTAATTGGAGTCTTCAGCCTGCCATCGGGTCCGTCTGTGGTGCGTGTACCTACATAAGCGTTGATACCACAAGGTGCTGTGTAGAGGGCAAACACTGTTATGGCCGATGACCATCTGCATATTGAACGCAGATCGCTGCAGACCACAAAGGCTCGGATACTTGATATGGCTGAAGCGAAACCATGAGCTTTTCGTCTCACGAAGGGTTACTCAAAGTGCACCCACCACCCCATACCGGAAACTGCCCTATTACCGAAATATAGTACACGTAGTCGTAGACCTTCAACCTGGGTAGCGGGGACGATGTGTTGAGCTATGATTGGATAGGTCCCTGAAGGTCTGTCGTACCTCGGTAAGGATCTGTAACAGTTCGTCAATGCTATGATGGTAGACCACGACACGTATTTATTCATGTCCATACTGTTGTGCAGGTGGGGGGATGATGAATATGGTGAATTGTGCGACCATGCAAAACAGAGTCAGGTATCTGTTGAGCAAGAACAGGGCGGACGCAAAGGCTCTTCGCCTCCAAAATAGCTCGATCTCGGAATCTAACGAGATGAGGTAATCGTAGATGTACAACGCTAAAGTCGTAGTAGGGACGTAAGCTGAATCTGTCGTAGCTGTTGTTGCACTGCTAGATAAGCACTGACTTGAACTGGACAAGTCGAAGTATTTGCTGATGCTACTGAAGACATAAAGCTGTGAGCGGGATTATACATGATCAGATGAAAACTTAGCTCTCGTACGTACAGAGCCTCCTGTGTAGCTGCAACTTCCGCAATGGATTCTGACATGGTGGATCCGGATCCGGATCCAGGTGGGGCGGATAGGAGAGATCTTATATTGCGCCACCACCAGCGCGATGGTATGGATGGTACCATGCGCTTAAGCACGTCGCTCGCGGACCGTCCTTGAGCGACGAGCGACAAGAGACAGACGCTTCGGCTTCAGCGACTGCCCTTCGCGTCCCTTCAAGCCAGCGTTCTCAAGGAGATGAGATGAGCGAGCAGCCTCCGGCCCTGATCGGACTCGTTTGGCCGTCTCATACCGCGACTTGGCGTCTCAAGCAACAATACGTTCGTAGTGTAGAGGTTCTATGCATCGGAGCCCCCACAACCTCGGTTGGTCAATTCCTGTGAAACCGTCAGGTAAGATGGCAACTGGACAGGATGCCCTTAGAAAGTGATTGCTAAACTTATTGATGATACTCCTGCCACATGAAGGCGCGTTCAATACGTTTGATAAGGCATGGGACGGCAGAGAGCTGGAAGCGACCCTTGCGGCGTCCCGGGTCGGAGGCCTCTTGCGCGATGCCACCGTCGTGGCTTACATAAGCCGGCCCACAAGCACTTCGTCTTCCTTGCTAATATGGCCCCTACTTATCCTCCTGGGTCTCCCCAATCCATCTGAACACATGTGTCTGTCATATTGAGCTCTACATCCTCTCTAGCTAATTGTGTAAGAGCTCTACCCCAGCGAAGTTATGTTTGATACGAACTTGGCAGCCGCCAAGTAATGCACGAGACTGGTCATGCTAGAGAGCGACGAGCTGTTACAAAGCCAGAATGTGATCTGAGGATGGCGAGCGGCAACTTTTTGTGCTCGATAAGTTGTCCATTGGCAGAGGGTTCGTATCGTGCTTCTTCACTCTCGTCTCCTTTTACATGTGATCATCTTGAGCTAGCCTACAGATTCACCTGCCATTCTGTGTAACTGTCGTCGTCGCGGCAGATCGCATAGCGCGCAGACATCTGCCGCCTCCGTCTCATCTTGCACTCAGAAACCGTCATGAGCAGAAAGAGCAGCCGAAAACAGAGACGGCCTCGTGATACCACTACCCGCCACAGTACCCGAAGGCAAGAGCATGTGTCATTTGACAGCTATTGACAGCTATGGATACAGTGCGTCCATATACATCTCGTCATTACAACATCGTCAGAACCCTAGTCACGAAAACGACGCTCATCAGCAACGAGAGTCCATGTCCGACACGAAACCTGACGCGCTCACCGTTCGGCGCGAAGCCCAAACGCTGGTTTCCGACGTCCCAGACGGAGTAGTAGTGCTTGAGCACGGAGCCCCCGACGAGGTCGAGGCCGTCGAACGCGTTAATGAGCGTCTGACAAGTGCTCGGATCGCTGTCGAACGGGCCGACGTTGAGCTCCGAGCTCGGGATGGTCAGGTTGAACGGCTCGCCGCTTTGCGACGTGAACGTGATATCGATCACGGCGGGCAAGTCCCCGATCTTCGAGCACGGCAGGCCGTACGCCCCCGGCTCAGCGTCGAAGGGCTTGATGTCCTTAGAAATGTGCGCGTATATGGCCTCTGTCGTCTGCGTGGAGAAGAGGATGTTGGAGGTGCCCGAGTCGAAGATGATGTCGCGCTGCTGGTTCAGCACGGACGTCGTCTTGCCGTTGATGGAGATCGAGGACGAGGAGGCGACCCAGTCGCCACTGCCGGTCTGGTCGGTGTAGATGAGGTCGCCCTTGAACTTGCTGTCGTCGATGCCGCCGATGAGCAGCTCAGCGTTGCCGACCGCTTCGGGGGTCAGGAACAAGCTGAAGAGGGCTGCGATGAGTTCGAGTTAGCCAGGAGCAGCCGCGCGATAACATCGCATTCCACTCACAGTCGAGACCGTCCCGAATGAGAGCGGCGAAGAAGCCTTCAGCCGATGAACCCATACCCTGAATGCCGAGGAAGGGGTCGATGTTGAACTTGGGTGTCTGTTTGACGATCGTGTAAAGCGACACTTTCTTGAGGGTGACGTTGCCGACAGTGACAGAGTCCGTCGCGCTGCGGACGGTCAGGACGTAGTCATCGTCGACGACGGGGTCCACGCCGACACCGGTCGAGAAGGGGAGGGTCTCTTCGTCATTGCCCTGCTTGAACGTGGAGCTCTTGGACTTGTCGAACTTGCCCGTCTGGTTGCACGACGAGCAATCGGTCGACGCGAACTCGAGTGTCTGCGAGCCAGTGTCGAACACGACGCTGACAGGCTGAGGAGGGGTACCGACTGCGGGTGATATGTCGGCTTCTCGCAGCACAACACTTTCTGGACAGAAACACGACGTACCAGAGATGTTGCCAAACCACTGCAGGTCCGTGCCCCGGAAGAAGTCGTCCAAGTGGACGCCAATGGCACTGAGGGCACGCCTACGAAGACCGTTGACATGGCCCTTAGGGGTCTTGCGCGCCTGGAGGGTCACGGGCACAGGCTTGGGGGTCGCGTAGACCACAGAGGAAGCCGAGAGGGCAAGGACACCGAGGGCAAGAGCAGAACGCATTTTGCGAGGTTGCCACTACGAAAGTGTGCTCACACAAGCGGCTTGCAGGGGGGAAGGGAAGCAGGAGACCCTTGGGGATGCAAAAGCCTCCGCGCAGCTTGTTATAGGGGGCCACTGTAGCCAACCATGTGGAACAAGCGGGAACGGGTTGCCCATCACGGACATGAGGAATGAGCGTAGACGACAAACGATGCGTGATGGAGATGATGCAAGGGTATTTTGACAACGAACCTCGGTTGACCTCGGTCACCCACCCCATGCCCATCTTGAGCGTCGCTCAGAATGCAGCACGTGAGGATACGAAGCTAGAAGCCCAGGAGCCACACGCGTGCAACCGGCGACAAGGCTATTCCTGCGAGAAGAATGCAGACTTGAATAGCGAAGCGGGATGCCGCCATTCGGTAGTGGGGCTTCGCCGATCGGAAAGGCAAGTGCGGTGCAGACAGGTCGTCAGCATATCAAGAAAAGCCATACATAACATGCGCAGGCCCATGCTGAAGGCATAGTGATCACCGTACAGTGATGATGGAGCTTGGCAGAGAACGCGAAGGTGTCTCATGCAATGGCGCACGCCGCATGGTATCCGTCCGCGCGCACAGCCACCGGCTCGTCTGCTTAGCACCGTCTCGCGTTTCGTTATCGCCGATCCACTTTCCACCCTCATCGACTCTCGCATCGTCCACGAGCCATGGGTGAGCTCTTCGCCATCCTTTCTACATCGAGCAGATGAGCGGACTTTGCTGAGCATCTGCGTGTCATTGAACAGCGTCCGAGGAACAGATCGAGCTCAACGCGCCGCACTCCCCGACGGAAAAGGCTTTCGAGGCCTTCGAGATCGTAGAGCATAAGATCAAGTCCGAAATCATAAAGTCTCGTCATGACTGGAACAAGCACGAGCCTCGCATGTGGTCGCGCGCTCATGGCGTGTCCGACGAAGACCTCGTCGCGTTCAAGATTCGCCAGGATCTTGTCGAGATCCGCAGTGCGCCTACATCCTACGGGACGATCATCCTCGGGAAGATCAGACTTCCCGGCGTGCGCGATGCGGAAGGAGAGGGTTACATTCATGTCCGGTATGTCACCTTGCGCGTTCTCTTTCTGCCTGGCGATCTCACCTGAACACTGTCAATAGCATCCACGATCCTCCCAACCGAGTGCGCATGAACCTCAGTGGTATCTCGTCTAGAACTCACGGGATTTGCACAGGGTGTCGAGGACGTGCTGTTCCACTCGCTCTGGACAGACGAAGGCAACCGCAACGCTGATGGCCATCCAACCACTTGGCGTGCCATCCAGAACCTCGACACGCCGCTCGAGTTCTTCAACGAGTAGATATCCCATCGTTCGACGATCAGCTATGTAGGATATCCCAAGAGAAGTCTATCTGTATGTGTCCTGTACGTTCATCTGGATTTCACCTGTCGCCACAATCAACCTGACCGCGGTCCCTAGGAATATAAATATTATATACCCATCCTGGCAGCATGGAGCTCCCTATCTGGTTTTCCTGGCGTTGTTCACCAGTTTTCGATGCTGTGCAAATGTCTCTGCATGACCGCGGCTAAAAGGGAGGCAATCACTCACCCCCGTACCTCTTCGCTTCCGGAGAGAAGGCTTATGCACTCTTGTCGATCAACACTACGCTTCAGCGAGGGGCCGCAACCTAGAGGCTGTGCAAACACTCCGTAACAAGGAGTGAACCCAGAGCGGGTCCGATTGTGATGTACAAGATTTCTATGATCCTCCGTTAGGCTGGCCAATGCTTATGCACCATGTATCATCTATCCCGGGGCGCCGTTTTCTAATCTATATAGGTTTGTTTTTGCACGAAGCATTGCTCAGATGTTCGAGGGCGTTATTACTGCTTCTAATGGCCCGCCTTGCGTCTCAGGGCTGTAACGCAGATCAAATGTTGCCTGCGGGCATGACCCAACTAGACTTCTCCCGGCTCCATCCACCTCTTGAAGATGTATGAGGAATCTGGTTATCAAGATGGCAGTGATGCTTGAACGCCGCATCGGCGGTCCCGCGAGTCAGCGCTCGCCATCGCGGGCCAAATCCCAGTCGTGCCTTGGTACTTACGGGTTGGTGAACATAGTGATTCCGCTGACGTTGTATCCAGGCCAGTCGCTCAGTAACTGGACATCGATGGAAAGTATCAGCACGAAGGGGACACGTCCGAGATCGTCTGCGAGGACTCACCGAAAACAGGGTGAACAGCATGTGCGCCACGTCCAGAGGGACCATTACGCTGTTGCGCTTACAATATTAAGAAGTGGCACCAAAGGCTACTGCTGTGTCCTTACATGAAGTAAATCATCCCTGTCATCCGCATGAGGACTTACATCAGCTGACGAAGTTGACGAAGTATGTGCGTACCATGCTGCAGCAAAATATCTGCATAAGATATTCTCCCACGGTCCTGAACGGCCTGGCGAAAGAGCCTGCGCTGTTCGTACATTGCATGCCAGGTCATGCACACGACAATGATGTTAGCAGCGATGAGGGCTACCCTGGATGCTATGACGCCTGGATGTAGACTCAGCGAGTTATAGAGAAATCAAAGTCGGCGAGACACGAACCGCTACAGAGCATCAGCAATGAACGCAGAAGTGCATGCAGACCGAGCACGCTGGCAACTTACTTGTTCAGAAACTCTGTCGAGGGTCCACCTGGGACGACGTATGCCTGCAAAGATTTGCCGTTGTCTGAGCGACATCTGCAGTGCTGCCACGTTGGACACACGTACGTAGATGTTGATGGCCAACGTCACCATGTAAAGGCCAAAGACCGATGCTGCCGCCACCCACTTCTGTACCAAGCCGCTGCACATCACAGAGGCTCGTATTCCAGAGACCACTGTACAGATGTCGTCGGCGGAGCAACTCAGTGAACACAAACTACTGGCAGAGGACCGGTGTACTTACAGGCCCAGACAACAACGTTCGTGAGAATGATGGCATTCGATACGTAGCCATAGATTTGCATGCTGCCGGCATTTCAACGAACGCAAAGTATGAGCAGAGCGAGGAATCAAGGCTCTGCACATCATACCTCTGTACATTATCGTTAGAATGATAACGGGGATCAAACTCAACCACTCGACTTACAGGACTATCCCCGTATATGGAGGTATCGATTGCAATGCTCTGCTTAACTATGCAGAACAGCTGGAGGTATCTATTGAGCAAGAACAGGACGGAGACGAGGGCTTTCCGCCCCCAGAACAGCTCGATCTCTCTGTCCAGTGTAAGAAGGTACTCGTATATGTACGCCGCTGGACCCAAGGAGGCACATTCGTTAACGTGTGCGCACACTAAATCCAAAGGAGACGCTTACCTGAGCAAGACAAGGCCCAATAATTACTGATGCGACTAGGCAGCCAGATATGAGCGTGCACGATGCGAGTCACGGAGATTCAACGAGACAAATCCTGCACGCACATGGAGGCCTCGTCAGCTATAGTCTGCGCGACAATTGACGAAACCATGGTATGTGAGGCTTGCTTGAAGAAAGGCAGGGATGACAAGAGGCGATAGGACGCATTGCCTCTTCACGCACATTTACCCGTTGGGCAGCGTTCGGTGCCTTCTCTCCGGTGAGCACGTGGGCACTGCCATGAGATCGAGTGACATAGATCCTTCGCAATGGGCATAGAGTCCTTTATCGTACTCCTCCGTACTCACGACCACACCATGCCTCCATATGAGATTGAAGGCTGTGAGAGGCTGTGGATGTCAGCGAACTGGCAGCTGGCGGAGACGCAGCCTATCAGCATACTAGCATTACTGTGGGGGGGTCTACTCACTGCTGAGAACATATGTATATGCAATTACCAGCACGCAGCTCCCACTTCGAGCGCTGGGGCTCCATGTATGAAGCGGCAAGACATGCGGGTCCGGTCGGTCTCGCTGGGACCAGCGGAACGCTGACAAGAACGACGTTAGGGACTCGGATGCACAATATTCCCACACTAAGACCCTGGAAGAGTCCTTCGCAGCCTCAGATGCGTCTGCTCGAAAACCCTCTGATGGTACAATGCGTGCTCGGGGGCTTGCGAGCCAGCATCGGAGAAGGCACTGCGTCAGGTAAAGTGCTCGACGTGACACAATTGAGCGTCGTACGACGTGAACGGACCTGACTGCAAGTGAGGTGTCTGATCTCTGGGATTCCTGGCATGAGCTAGAGGGAGAGCGACACATTCAACTAGAGAGGTCGATTGTGGAACAGGCAGCAATCGAAGCGATATTGGGTCCATAGCCATACCACATCCAAATTGCCGTACTTGTCGTTGAGGAGTTGACGAATCGATTGCTTTGGAGGCGAATCTCGGGTAATCAAACTTTTGACTCGTTTGCTTGGACGCGAGATCTGCGAGCGACGATGCCTCGGTACCCGTACAAATTTGAACTACCGGTGGCTACTCACAAGTTTTGGATGTTCGAGCAACGCAGACCTGGCAGGATATCAGCAAATAATTTGAGGCTTCGCACTCCCCCGTAATCAATACAGTGATATACGAACTATGTATGTTGCGAGAGCAAGTCCGGCATGACAGACAAAAATTCGCGGGTAATACTGTACGGGAGCAAGAAGCGCCGATCAGCGCCTGAGCTTTGGCTGTGTAGCCACGTGGCAGGGTGACACAGTTTCCCATCTCGTGACCTAAACACGTCGATGGAATCGACGCTTATTCATTGTTCTTCCAAGCCTCTACCGCCCTACGGGCTTCATTCGACTCTGCCAGCATGTCGAGGGGTTCCTCGTGCTATTGTCCTTCGACGCATCGGCCACAAGGAACAATGGGGGAGCGTAGCCGACGGCTATGGGTATGTTTGGCTCGCTTTGTCCGTGTAGGCGGTCGCGGCGGCTTGTGATGCCATCGACTCTGCTTGTTTCCTCCACACTCATCCTCTCCGTTCACACTTGTCCTCTCCGTCCATAATCGTCGTCCTCTCCTCCAGTTATCCATCTCCCCGCCAGGACACGAATGAGTCCCCGCAAATATCAGCTACAATGTCATCCTACAGCAGCTCCAGTCTAAGCAGCTATGAACCTGCCAGCTCACCATCCGAGCGTCCTTCCACACCATCCACTTCCCCGGGCACATCTCCATCGTCCCCTTCTTCTTTCAAGCACGGGTTGCACGCTTGGAAGTCTCGCCAGAGGGCGACGTTTGCCCCACCAGGCCCGCAGGCGCAACCTCAGGCCTCGAAGCGTAACAGCAGGGCCCTCACGCTCGACATGCGGCCACACGGAATCGGCGTCGACCCAGGCTCCCTCGTCGGCAAGCAGCTCACCAGCGTCCGCCGATCACGTGCCCACCCTTGCATTACGCTTCAGTTCTCGGACGGCACCTCATACCAGATCTTGGTGGTCGGTTACGACCCTCACTACCGTGGAATACCTAAGGTGCTCGAGAGCGACTCGCCCATCCTCAACCCCCGTGGATCCAACGGCACGGCGGATGTCCGCCTGACAGTCTCGCATGCCACGTCGATTACGCTCTCCGACAAGGCCTTCCAGATTCGCAGTGGGCCGAAGTCGGACGCTTCGACTTCTATTCAGGCCGCTTCTCTCCCAAGAGAGGATCGTTGGACGCAGAGGCACGCGGCCTTTGCGCTCAAGTTTGAGGAAGAACAGGGCTGGCATTGCGTTTCGGCCGTCATGGTAGAGTACGACGACAGGGACAAGGAGAGATGCGTGTTCCGGAACTACGCCGACGTGTACGTCGATAAGCTTCACACCGTTGCTCCTCCTCCCGCGTCTGCGCCTGCGCGCGTCACTTCCCACCAGCAGTTCGCCGACCCTGCCTCGCCCGGTCCAGGCCATCAGAAGAGTGACCAGAAGCCGAAACGGAGAGGTGGTAAGAAGAAAGCCGGAGGGAAATTACGTTGGTGAGTGAAGAATGGTGCGTGGTGGTTGAGAGTGAAGTGAAGAGTATTGGGGGTGCGAGAGCGGAAGAGAGAGCGACGAATATAGCCTGGTGGTCACCAGGCATCATGGGGTAGCGGCTGGTGAGTTTCCATAAAACACTTCTCGCAACCTGCCGGGCTAATTGTATCGTCGATGCGTACTGTAACCATCAGAGAAGAAGCTCAATCTTGAAGTATCTCCTCGCAGGTCACATCTCCGCACGCACGCACATTGGAAGCCACATCGCATTGCATCGTATCACACACTATCGCACGTCACACACGCAGGAGCTGGACTGACTCATCTCGCCATCGATGTTTAGCGTATTTGTTTGTATATCTATCTCTGTCTGTCTCCACCGTCGGGCTGCTCCGTTGCTGTACCCAGTAGTTGTTGTCATGTACGCTATACGCTGTACGCTGTCTCGTCCCCATCGTCCGCATTGTGTCGTTATTGAACTTTACATACTTGTGCTGCATTGATTTCTTGTCGGCATCCGAATACAGAATCGATTTATCATCAATGCCGATGCTTCCCAAGCCCACGGTTCGCGGTCTCCTCTCCCGATTCTTTAGAGATGCTCTCACACATGCCCTCTTTCACGTACATACAACTACGGAGAAGGTCTGGCAGTGTCCGCGGCCGAGCGGGCCCGCAGTCTACCCAAGCAGTGCGTTGCTAGCTACTTCAGCTGCGCAGGCTAGAGACCTCTCTAGATGTCGCTATCTTACGAGATTTCGGTCCACATGACCTTAGGCTAAAGGGGGGGCATAGGGATCTTCTATTCGGTGGGCAAGAGTACCATGATTTAATGGTAAGTGCTGGAGACAAATGACCTTGGGGCGTACCTGCTGTTCCTACGTCGCCTGTCCCGTGAGGCTTCTGTGATAGGGTCGGCCCAAATCTCAGTAGCGAGATCCCATAGCATGGAATGGCATCTTCAGGTCTCCGTGAGTGCTGTCTGCCGAGCGTGTTGCTCCCTGGTGATTTCGTTTGATTTTGGTGTGCAGCCCAAGCGGGCTTAGCGGGACAGTAGTCTCACTGGGGGGCGCAGTAATGGCATCCGTGGTCCACCGTGAAGGACTTTCGACTCTGCGTATGGCGCATCGATACCAAAGTTGGACCGTATGCCTGAGGCTATGCATTCATTTAGGCTGATTCCGTATCAGCTGCGATCGTGCACGGGACAACAGAAGGGGACGTCGGCCTGAATTACCTGCCTTCTTGAACAGTGATACCGGTGATTCTAGTCAGTCGTCCGCGTTCATTTCCGCTGACCGTCTCTGTTGCTTCGTCCCCACTTCCGTGATGATCAGTGCGCATGCGATAGTGGAAGTTGCCGGTTATATTGAACCGAACACAAGCAACGAATACCGAATAGCATAAGGCAAGGAAGCGACCTTTGCAAACCCTTGTATGAATGTTGAGAAGGACGGATGGCGTCATCGCCGCATTCTCCTAGAGATTTGGCGGACCAGATTCAAGGGCACGTACTTGCGTGGGCTATGATTTCCATGGCCATTGGAGCGAACAATTTAGTACGGTTCCGCTGAACATACGGGGTTATGAGGCTATCCGAAGGAGTGTAGCGTGCCTCGAATCGTCGTGTACTGACACTATTAGGTCCGACGAAAGCAATTGAGCATTCGCGGGATGTCATGGGGACGCCAAGGAAATTAGTAGGCACCTCACCGTGTTGGTTTCGGCACTATGAAACACTGTGCATCTCTCGTCTGCGGACATGACGCAGTCTGTAAGCTGAAGGTCACTGTCGGACGAGAACTGCGTGCAAGTGATAGGTCGTTGTTTGTCTGCTATCCTTGGAATGTCGCAGAAACGTATCAGGGAGCAAGAATAGCTATCCACCCGCACGCATAGCGACATCAGCCATGCCGAAACCTGCTTCGTCCGGAATATTGCTTGGATGGTCGGGTTCGGTGGCATTGATGCCTGATGAGATAACGTGCCGGGTACCTATGTTGAGATTACGAGCTGGATTAGAGACCCAGATGGGATATCCGAGTCACTTGCGCTGAACAGAACGATGCACACCTTGCATCCTCCTCGGTTTCCCAAGCAGTGGTCTGATGAGCTTTTCGCCTCGGTGATAGTAAATCGCTTCGCAAGTCTCTTTATCAATATTATGACCGATAACGTAATTGGTCAAAGATGTCGTGTCAGGCCAAGAGCGAAGCGACGCACAGGTGAGGTGAGAGCATGAGATCGAAGTCAGATGCCTTGCTTGTAGCGAAAAGGCGTCGCACAAAGCGTCCGACCCAATTTGTCTCACGTCGTGCGCGACTGATGGCGATGAAGTTGCGCGCCCACGCCTGGATTAGACTCCTGTTAACGATGCACAGAGAACGTACCGAATGATGGTGTAAATACCTGACGTCATACGCTCTTGAAGCCGTAAGACGCGACGGTCAGTTCTATTTGCGACCCCGGGAGCTGTGCTAATCGCTACTATACAGGTACAGTGGGCCGCCGCTGCGCTATCGACTGAGGGCATGCTTTTTCGGCACAAGGTGCCCCGTGGGCCACCAATATCCCTACGGTGACCAGCTAGTGAACGATGTTACGAATCTGCAGACCTGGGACGAATGTAACTTACAAGGTCTCATTGCGCTCATCCCAGCAGCTAGTGATGCCAACTATGTGTGCCTCCAGGTCCGAAGAGATAAGGAACACACTCCCCATGACACTAGTCATATGTCAAGCGCCCTTAGACGCCGTCGCAGGCTTGACAATCACTTACGTATGTCCCCACGATGTCACGGTCCCGAGCCAGGAGCTTAGGTCTCCTGTATGGGCGCAACACTGGACACTACTTCTGTTCCAGGGTAAGATCAGGACGACGGTGAGACTTCTAAGCGGACCATGGAAAACGTGGGGGCCCGGGGCCGGTTATGGAACGCACAATGTCTTAGCCACGATGAAACGCGAGTGAGCGCGATCGGGGACGCCATCGGGGACGCGCGGCCAGAGTACGTTACTGCGTGGGAGGCCGACAGGAGACGGAGTGTGGAGTCTTGCGCGCTGCGAGCAAGTCTTGTTCGATGTGCGAATTCTACCTGAATCATACGAGGTCGCAGAAGTGCTTAGTAGATGCGCACGGTGCAATGTAGAAGCGGGCGTCAGCCGGAAGGTTTGAAGAGACCGAAATCGACGAGCGCGCACCTACATTTGGATGGCACCATTGTGGCGTTACACAGGAAGACATGACCACCGGATGTAAGGCGCACTGCTCCCTCGCGCACTCACGATGGTCCGACAGTAAGCTGCACAATGCGAGAACATCGGAAGAAGCGTGAGCGTGGAAGCCAAGGGGGCCATCATCAGTAGTGACATTGTACGTCAAGGCTGTGCCGCCAAGAATCTCGTACGTCGTCGCATCGCATAAACCGAAAAATCTGGGCCCCATCAGGGCAGCGACATCTGACGTAGCGTGGTTGCTCGAATGGAAGCTCGGCCGCCGGACGCCTATAATAGCGGAATGGAGGACAGGTCAGACTCCTGTGACCACGGAGTCGGCGCATTGGCGTGGAAGTGAAGATCAGAGTCGTACAAACCATTGATAGCGAAGCGAAGCGATCTGATTATATTGACCTGAGCGGGTGAAAGGTTTCAGACAATCGGACAGCTGACCAAGAAAAGATGAAATTACATAGAGATTGTTCGGCTATTGGAAAGTGGTGTCACACGCCTTTTTTGCACGCTTTTTCCTGTCACCGCTGAGCCATCGTGCCTTGGGGTTTCATACCGCAAAGGGCGGCACATTCTTCCAACAGCAGGATTGGGCTTTGGGAGCCCGAATTCCATGGGGAGGAATCGCACGTCTCACAGGATTACTCCACTCGCGGTTATGGACAACGGATGACGAAACCCGCCATCAGGGCAATTGCTTCCATGTTCGTTCTCGGCATGTCAGGAAAAGTGTCCTAACAACCTATTCTCCCTGATTTGAAGTCGTTGAATAAATGATAGTAGCATTGGTGACTGCAACTTACATAGGACGTTACACAACCCACAATCAACGAGAGTGGTGTACCACAGCCTCTCGTTCCCTGATTCGCGCTGAATGCCGAGACTCGAGCAGGCAACCGGCGCCACAGAAGGCGCCCTTGAACGTGTTTGAGGGTGTCAAGTGGACAGACATCCGCAGAGAGAAACCACGCTATACATTACATTATCGAGATGGTGCAGCATCCCGATTCGGAACGGAGGATCGTCGTATGAAGGTCACTTCGGTGAGGCGTTGTTCCGTAAAGCCACGAACTTGGGCGCACGGATCCTGATGCAGCCCCCTGATAGGAGAAAGTCTACGACAACGATTAGAGTTGTCCCGTTGCTAGATCACATATCCGACATCTCGATCGCAAGGCTGTGAGCTGCCAGCGCGAGGGGTATGAGAAAGATGGACACTCACAGCTACGCATGACGCGAGCCGAACCGGCGGCACGAAGTTGAACACTGCAGTCCAGGTTTCACCGAAGACGCCTGGCGCAGCAACGCGGCTTCGCAGCCCCGGTGTACAGATCCCTAGCAAGGGCGTGGGAGCGTCTCGCACAACGGGACCTGAACCCTCCAAAGGGATGAGGAAAGGGACGCTAGAAGCTGCGAAGCTGACCACTTGGTAAGACAGGGCGGCAACGCCCAGCACGTAATGCTAGATTATTCAGGATGCCCGACTTGCGACGATGACTGTCATTCCAAGACGCTTCCCTACTGCTGTGGTGGCCCGACGGATTCTGTGGGGGACGACAACATAGCCGGTAGAGTTCAGAGCGCAGTCTCCGGCGGATTAAAGGTGGCAGGAGTACCCGGACAAGTGGGACAAGCCACCACAAGTTCAATGGCGGTGAGGCATCATGCCACAAAGGTCGGGTGTATACCAAGAAAATAAGCGGGCTGAGCAGACAATCAGACACTATGACATGGTGGGCCGTGTCGCGTGAGGGGCAATACTCACAGTCGAACTAGAATCTCCTCCACTAGTCTTTACGCAAAACCGTCATGAGTTCTGTGATGCTGAGTGTCGTGATCGCGCTGGTCGTTAGTCAAAAGTGCGGAGGGAACGCCCTGAAATCAGCCCCGGAGGGTCGCAGCAGGAGGCATTTGTCAAGCCGATGATTCCAGGACAACTGAGCTTAGTACAACGCGTCCTGCGCGCACAACCTGCGGAGACAAAGGGTATAATATTCTTTCAAAAGCGATATCGAGGGAGCAATAGACAGGAATAGGAATGCGGCTCTTAATACAGCCAGGTCTCGCGCCGCGCATAGCACCCTGATGGACGGAGGGAAGGAAAGTGGGCATACGTACCGTTCACGTCTAGCAGCTCGTAACGGCATTAGGTTTGGAAGCGCAGCGCACTAGAATTCAGAAGACTGCGTGAATGTTTGATTGCTGACAAGACCAAGAACCATCGCGGGCGATACCTGGAAGGAGCTTTCTAACTAAACAGGGCCATCTCCCTGCAAATAGTGTGAGGGCATGGTATTGTCGAAGCCAAGCGCCATACCAGGATTGGATTGCAGTGGATAGATTAGTGATGTCGAACAAAAGGTGCAGAGTTGGCACGAAAGGGCAGATTTCCGCAGCGGTGAGATGAGATACATCACCTCGTGCTGATTGACTAGCCGTCCACCAGAGGCCGTCTATCTTTGTAATGGCACGACTTCATCGTTCTAACCTAGAGGAAGCTGTAAAGATGCCGTGGAAACGGGCCGGCTGGAGTGCGGCAGTATCTAGCGGCTGCTTCATGTCCAAACCCGCTGAGTACATGGTCTGGTCGGGACGCAACAACTCGCACACCAGTGAGTGGCATCACCTGTGTAGACCAGCGCAGACGACGGAGCGGAGGGGCTTGGGATCGCGATAGCGATCATAGCAAAGGAAGCAGGGGAGTGGGTTCGTGGATCCGGGGGAGGTGCCAGTGGTTCCAAAACCAAGTTCTTTTGGAGGTTCCCCGAAGCCCTGTGCCTGGGATGGTGTTTCCAGATGACTGCGAAGTGGGACAAAGGAAGAGGAAGCCGAGACCGACGGTGCTTCTCGCCTTGTTCGAGGCTGAGCCATCGTGGCACACGCGAATCGGCTGCTCAACAAAGACGCCGGCCCGCCACAGGCGCTTTCCTCCCTGCTTGTTCCCCATGTCCTCTCGCACGACCTCCTCAAAGGTTTCTTTCGCGGCCGTCACCCCGAACAACCTTGGTATGTCTGCGATACGTCTCGGGATCGATGGTACCTTACGCTTATGCAGGGACCGTGCGAAAGCTCAACTCTGTCCTCTTCCCCATCAAGTACAGCGAAAAGTTCTACAGTGACATCGTCCAGCCCGATGTAGAGGACTTCTGTCAGCTCAGTGCGTGTGAATGACCTTCTTTCCGAAGTCTTCGCTCACATTCCTATCGCAGTCTACTACAATGATATTCCGATAGGGACTATGTGCTGCAGGGTTGAGGAGAAGGATGGGCAGGCGAAGTTATACCTTATGACATTGGCAGTGCTTGCGGTACGTCAATCCTGCATCGGAATCTCGCCTATGCCGATGCATATCTCGCTCCACCTCGCAGCCATATCGCTCGAGAGGCATTGGCTCGCAGAGTCTGCAACATCTCATCGACGCTGCGGCCGCTCATACCAAGCCCAAAATCACCGCCATCTACCTCCATGTCCAGGTCTCGAACGAAGACGCGAAGCGGTTCTATGAACGGCATGGATTCAAAGAAGTGGGCTTGTATGAAAACTACTATAAGAAGATTTCGCCGCATGACGCGTGGATACTGCAAAGAGATATCGAGCCGAAGACCGTGGAGGGCAAGTGATAGATAGGGATATGGATGCGGGGTCACAGTAAGATACATTTGATGCGAGTCTACGTGCGAACTACAGAACGGGCTAATCCCCGACTCGTGCAGTACTGTCCGTGTCAGCGATACTATTACAATGCTTTGTACCAATACACCAGAGACACAGGGAGCGCATAACATAAGTCAAGACGCGAGGGAACGTAGGCTATGGTTTGTGCCGGGCAATTAGTCAGGGTAGGTTCTACGAAACATCGGTTAGCACGAGCAGCAGACGACGGGAGGCAACGCACGACGTACAACAAATAGTCGACTGTGGGAGCCTATGGATTGCTCTCGTCAACGCCGCAACGCTTCACCAGCTACAAGAACGGTTAGCAAATGATCACGATCACATGGAAGGACCGTCATACCTGGTGCCTCTTCAGTGCGTCCTTCCTCGTAAATGTCTTCCCACATCCCCCGTTACAGAAGAATGGCTTCTCACCGGTGTGCGTGTCGCGATGGCGCTTGAGGTCGTGCTGCCGATTAAACGATAGCGCGCACATGTCGCACGCGAACGGGCGCGGGGGGGAAGCTGGATACGAGCTGACCTGCTGAGCGTACGCAGCCTGGGACGGGTACTGTGCAGTTGTCATGTTGGACATCGCCGAGGGAGACTGCGGAGATGACGACAGTGGCGGCCCGTACGCGCTCGCCATCGTCTGCGTCTGCGAGTACGCGAGTGTGGGCGAGTGCGGGACGCCGTGCGAGGAGGAATGCGAGTGCGAGTACGAGTGCGAATGGGAGTGGGGGTGCGGGCGCCCCGCCACCTGCGAGCTCGGGCTGCCGTATTGGCTGTCCACGCCGTACTGGGACATGGACATGGACGAGCGTCGGTCTGATGTCGGGATGTGAGAGTAGTGTATTTGCCCGTCGCTGAGCTGGTATTGTGCGGCGATCGCCTGCGCTTGCGCGGACATGGCGTCGTACGCGGGGACAGACTGTGACGAATGGCTCGCGGCGCGAAGAGAGGGGTGGTTCTGGTACGCTGAGGAGGAAGAGGAGTAGTGGTCTTGCGACGCGTAGCCAGACGGGTATTGTCCGCTACCAGACCACTGGGTGGCGAGGGCGACGTTTGTACCCGGAGAGTACTGGTGCGAATGCCGGTCCGACATTGGAGGGACCAGGAGGCGAATTCAATGTTAGGATAGGAGGATGATCGCCATTCATATGTAGTCTCGCGAAGGCGCTCACCTCCGCAAGGGCGGCAGAGATACTCCAGGCACAATCTCACTGCCACAAAGGCGAGAGCTTCGGAGCTGGTTAGCGCAGGGCGCGAGCCGTTCTGAGCCGTTCACAACAAGTGTTACAAAATTATAAAAGGCAAAAGAAGTAAAGTGCAATAACACTGATCTGTCAAACGGTGAATGATGCCGCGGTATCGGGGATGGCTATAAAAGGTTGGTTCCAGCAGGTAATCTGGATTTTTACACAAAAGCCTTTGACGAGCGAGACGCAGAAAAATACGGGAGCTGGCCGCGTAAATACCCTCAATCTAGCCAATACCGGTCGTCGCTGCGCCCGATCACCTGTCTTTGGGGCTAGTCGGCTAGGTACGCGAGGTCACTATGACCCGAGATCCCGGAACCCTCCCGCTCCCGCCCCCAAGGGGTTTGTTTGGCGGTCCGGTGACGTCCTCGACGTTGCGTCACAAGAGGTCTGTTCACCGTGTCTACTCAACTCCCGGCTTCTGCGATTACGATAATCAAACCGAGGAAGTTCGACACGGTCAAGATCACAGCGCTCATTCCGCAGTCACCGTCGTGACAGCTCCTGCCCTGATCATGCTCGAGGACCATTGTGATGGGGCATGGTGCAGATGCCAACAAGCACCTTACTCGCCGAGATTGGCGCTGCGAGCGCAATGAAGCGTACGTGTTTGTTTATGCAGAGATGCCCAATGAACGGAAGCTCCGATTAGACAGCTTACATCACGATTTGAGACGCACAGGACCGGGCATGAAGGCTCAAGAGACGTCGGACCTCTCACTCGGTCTTGCGTGCAAGGCGGTCAAATCCAGCGCAGGGTCGCGCCGGCGACGTCTCAGAACTAGGTTTCCGAGCTGCAAGGGCCTACAGTTTTGTCTCAAGTCGTTCTGCTGTATAACAGCCACCCCGCCGCCACCATGCCCCCGTGGCGTCTTGCCGGTGACGTCGAGCGCCACCAAGATCAACCCAACGTGTCGATAGCCTCTGAGATCAGGCGAGAATTGACGAAACCCACCAAGTGGTCCAATGACTCGATACAAGTCGTTATTCCGTCGCGACTACCTCGATGACATCAGTCTCAATGCGATCAGAAGCGGGTAACAGAAAGAGGTTCAGCCTTTACAGTAGTTGTGTCAGATCACCCACCGTGTCTTGGAGTCCTGTCTGCATCCGTACATCATATCGAGCACGCATACTGCTCTCTACTGTAACAGGTTCGCTTACATCCTAACGTGCGAGATAACCGGACATGTCTCGCAAAGATGAGATTGTCATCACGCGCTGTTCGAATAGACACCAACTTGATTGCAGACATTAATGATCCATGCTTAATAGGGGATAGTGAAGCCGAGGAGACACCGCGGGACAACGTTTCTTCTCGCCTCGAGCGCCAACGCCTTGGCTCTTCATTTTATGTCCGAAACTGCATAAGGCCGATGAACAGTGCCCTGTGATCTGAATTTAGGGGACCACGAGGGCGGAGACCAATGAAGACGCTCTCCAACCACCTACACATCAGCCGTGACCGTATCGCTAGCAAGCATAAACGATGATGGTGTCTTGGCGAGGTGGATCGACTGTTATAGTGGTTGGATTCGGGCACAACTGGACGTCGGCCGGCGAGGAGCAGTGGTTGGGTTCTGCCGGCACTGCCCGGCGTCTGCCATTATCCCGAAAGCGGCAGGAGCGCCCTGACAGACGCGCGCAGGATGATCGGGCTCGTCCTCTCTTTTGCTATCTTTCTCCCAAGCCCCTGCAACGCGCTCAGCCGACAGGTTCCTTACAAACCCGTCTTGCGACCTGAAACACTGTACCAACTGACATATGCCAGCAACGTCGGGCGCGCCCTCACCAATAGAGAGTTTTCCTTAAGTTTCCAGGGCCCATCCCGCAACTTCAACATGGTCAAGCGCCCCCTACCGTCTGCGGCATCGCCAGACCGCCAGAACAAGAAGTCCAAGCCATCCGGGACAGGCCAATCTAGACTCGACTCTTTCTTTGGAGTCTCGTCCCGTCGCTCAATATCTCCCTCCCAGTCTACCTCTATCGGAGATCCAAGCTTAGCGTCCCCCAGGTCTAGGCGCGTCGTCGAGAAAGGGAAGAAAGTTGTCGATCATGTCCTGACTGACGAAGAACTAGCTTGGTCCCTTGCCTCTGCCGACGGCCTCGACTTAGAGGCGATGCGGAAGCTCGAGTCTCAGAGAAGCAACAATATTAATCTGTCAGCTGCCGCCCGCGACGAGAGCACAAACCCTGAGGTGATAGACGTTGACGCGCTGAATGAGACAGCTTCACGGAATGCTGCTGAACCTTCCCGTCATGCTACGCCCGCTGCGGCTGCCACGCCTACTATCGCGCTATCCCCCACCAGCAAATCGCCCCGTTCGTCGATGCCACAGCGGACGATTGGGAACGCGACCCCGTCGGAGAATCCAATTTACGAGCCCCTGAATGTCGATCCCCCATTGTATGACCCGGCATGCACTCCTTGGGCTCCCCAGAGCCCAGTCCCGTACTCGTTCCTGGCACACGCCCTTGCGACGCTCTCCAGCACACGCTCACGAATTGCAAAGTTAGACACGCTGACAAATGCATTGCGCACTATCTGCCGACAGCATCCCCCGTCCCTTCTCCCGGCATTATACCTACTGTCAAATGCTCTCTCGCCGCCTTATTCGCCCACTGAATTGGGACTGGGCCCTACGACCATCTCAAAGGCTATCCAGCACGTTTCCGGACTTAGTCCTGCTGCGCTGAAACGCCTGTATAATGCGACTGGCGATCCAGGTCAGCCTCGGGCTTTTTCCGATCGTGTTCTTTTGCTTTGGAAACTGAATGCTGTTGCCTGTCCAGGGGACGTAGCATTTGAGGCTAAATCGAACGTTAGAACTCTCATTCCCCATCCGCCCCTTCTCATCACCGGCGTCTACTCTTCTCTGTTGAAGATTGCCCATGCGAAGGGTCCAGGCGCCGCTAAGACCAAGCAGGCAATCGTAGAGAAGCTTCTGGTCTCTGCCCGAGGGGAGGAGACGCGCTACCTCGTCCGCACCCTAGGACAAAACCTCCGCGTAGGTGCTGTCAGAACTTCCCTTGCGGCACTTGCGAGGGCGATGGTCCTCACACCACCCGTGGAGCTATCCGCACCAACGCCGGACGATTCCCCTTTCCGCATTAGTGCAGAATTGCTCGAGGAGGTTAAGCCCTTGTTGGCTCAGAAGAAAGTTGCCGACGAAGCCCGCGATGCGCTGAACGACGTGTACCTCCGCGCAGAAAGTCTGATCAAGCGGGTCTATGTTCAGCATCCTAACTACGATCACATCGTGAAGGCGCTGCTAGAAGTCGGCCTTGACGGGCTCTCAGCCCAGCTGCCTTTGACTGTCGGTGAGTCGCGTTGTTGTGGTCAGATAAGACTCTTGTTTCACCGTGGAACATGCCGCACAGGGGTTCCATTACTTCCCACCTTAGGTTCCCCGACGCGCTCTCTTGACGAAATCTACGACCGGTTAGGATTCTTGCCTTTCACGGCCGAGTTTAAGTATGACGGCCAGCGCGCCCAAATCCATGCTTCGAGGGGTGATAATGATAGGCCGTTCGTCAAGCTGTTCTCGCGACATCTCGAAGACATGACCGACAAGGTAGACGCTACGAATATACTTTTCCCGCCGCCCGAGAGCTTCGCTGATCACGTCGACCCATCTTCAGTATCCAGACGTGGTCTCATTAGTTGACGGAATCTTCCTATCTACGCCGCAGACAGAGTCTTTCATCATAGACGCAGAGGTCGTGGCAATCGACCCTGGGACCGGCGCGCTCAAAACATTCCAGGAATTATCAAACCGCGCTCGTAAGGAAGTAAAACTTGACGAAGTGAAGGTCGCCGTCTGCGTCTTTGCGTTCGATCTCATGTATCTCGACGGTCAGGTGGGCTCGGCGGTCACCGATCCGCATTGTGTCCGCTTACGCAGACTCCATGCACGACGACAGATCCTGCTCGAGCGATCGTTCCGCGACCGCCGGACTGTGCTTCGAACGCGATTTCCGCCTTACACGCCGCCGCAGAAGGGCGCGGCACGTTTCGATCACGTCAAAAGTGTCGAAAGCGAAGATGGGCGGGAGGTCGTCGAGGAATTTTGGCAGGCCGCCGTCAACAGCTCCAGCGAGGGCCTCATGGTCAAGGTCCGTGCACGATCTTGCCATCCACGTCCTCGCCGCTGATGGCCGCAATCGCACTACAGCTTCTCGATAGCGGCGAGATCTTGGAAGAACCTAACCAAAAGAAAGACAAACCGCGTCGCAAGCCCTTACCTGCCACATATGAGCCAGGTGCGTCTAGGGTTATCATATCGCTCCCGGCCACGCTGCACCGCCCGGAGCTATCGATGCCGAAATTGACGCGTTATATATTCTAGACAAACGGACCTCCGCGTGGTTGAAGCTAAAGAAGGACTATGTGACAGGATTGAGCGACAGTCTCGATCTCGTTCCTATTGGCGCGTGGCATGGCAACGGTAGGAAGGCACAATGGTGGAGTCCTATCCTACTCGCCGTATGGGATCCCGACGCGGAGAAGCTCGTCGCGGTGTGCAAATGCATGTCAGGTCAGTGCAAAAGTGATCGGCCAATTCCATATGTACTAGTGTCGGCGAGGGGCGATTAACGGGCCATACTAGGCTTTACCGATGCATTTTATAAGGTACGAGAAGACACGGGTGCCGCTAGGGCCGGTGCTCGTCGTCATTCCCAACCGCCGCTGACCACAGAAGGACACCCAGAGCTTGCGTGAAAGATACCCCGAAGATTCTGACAGCTGTTCGTCGCGGCCCATGTGGGAGCCCGAGTGTGATACAGGTGGTGAATATGGGACCACCCGGTCTGCGAGGTGCTCTACTGATGAAGTCACCCGAACCTGTCTGTTAGGACTTAGACCGGAGGTCTACTTCAAGCCGCAAGAAGTGTGGGAAATTCGGGGCGCCGAGTGAGTTACTCTCCTCGTGCAGGACCGTACACTTGCTCTGAATCAGCCCCCAGTATCACAATCAGTCCTGTCTCCGTCGCAGCATTAGGGCTCGTGTCGCAGACAAGAGGACTGAGTCTGCGGTTCCCGCGCTTCATATCGCTCCGCGAAGACAAGGCCGTAGTAGACGCCAGCACGCCGGAATTTCTCGCGAATATATACCGCATGCAGCAAGCCGCTGGGAAGGATCAGACTGGTGCGGATGAGGGGGAGCTTGTAGATGTAGCATTGGATGACGGGGGCCAAGACGACGAGAGTGAAGAGTCGGAGGCAGATTCGTAGAGGTCCTAGTTGGTAGGGATTGTGGCGTAGATTTCGCTCCTCGAGCGTTCTCCGTGCAGATGATGAGAGCTACAGCATCTACGTCGGTGGCGCAAAACACCGACGAGCGTTCATACTTTCCTCTTTTGGATTACAGTGGCAAGCGGTACGCCGGACCGGATGAGACGGTTGTCTTCGGAGTCTTATCTGGGATAAACAGCGTCCCACTTCGTTGCTTCTTGCTCGTAGTCTTCTCACCATGAGGTTTCCCATCATCTTCAGTGCGCTGATGCTGGGTGCAGTGACGATCGCGCAGGCCAGAGAGACACTCGAGGAGGCGGGTCAGTGAATACTTGTCCTCCGGTCTCCCATCTAAGCTAATGGCACGCTGTCATACAACTCTATCAGCTGCGTTCGCTAGACAGTTGGTCAACAGCGTCTCCATAGGCAATATGGCCACTGTGTACCCAGCAGATCACGCGTCCCTAGCAGGTACGATTGTCCACGGGGTACTAGTCCCTTGAATGACGAACACCTTGCCCCTGAAGGAGAACCATTTTCCCTACAAGAATATTACGCCAGGCACGTTATTATTGAATCAATACCGCGCAGCACAGCTTACACCGGCTCTGACCTTACCGCGACTATTCGCAGCTGCCATGTGAACGGTTCGCTCACCTTGCTTTTCCTGCCGATCTCCCGCCATAGCCAGAATGTTTTGCTATCGCCCACCCATGCCGCTTCGGTCTCCGTCTGGAGTGATCGTCCTGCCGCAAGCCGGCCGCGAGTATCGCTGATAGGCAACGTGACGGTCTTCCCAGTCCTTGAAGAGACTCCCGACCGAGAGGCGATTCAAGCCTGCTATGTCGCGCAGCACCCGGACGCCCGCTGGTGGCTTCCCGGACCGAGGGAACCTCATATAGTCAGTCAAAACCCTCATGCGACGCATTCGCTAGCTGTCGTCATGATACGCTGCTGACCGCATTCTCTCTATCCATTTACGTTCCATTGCAGGCATACTGGGCTCGCTTCGATCCCCACGTATGTCGTATCTTTTGGTCTTCTTTTCCCGACAGGAGTTCGATCGCTAACGTCTCGACGCACTCCCCAGTCTGTTTATTACGTGGGCGGCTTTGGTAGCGAACACTTCATTGGCAATATTCCGCTGGAAATGTACCAGAATGCGAGCTTTCCGGATCACGCAACAGAAGTAGGAGTTGGGGGCAGGGTGCTGGTTACGCAAGATTGAACGTGCCGCAGCGCGCAGTGTCAGATTCTAGGGTCGCAACAGCGCAACATTGACGTAGCACGTAGTGATGCGCACACGGACACGCCTCTCGGGACATGGCTAGATAACGGTGTTATTTGGGCTACGTACATTCCACACCTAGGTAGCGCTCCTGCTGATGATCGCCCTTCACCCTCCCTACGAAACCCATCATGTACCCTTGTCGTATCTTTACATGTACACCATTAGCAAGGATCACTTTGAGCATATATAGGACAATCTGCGACAGCATGTCTCGCGTGAATAATGTCAAGTATTAGCTGATGAATGATAGGAGGCAGCCAAGCGCCTGCCATAGGGTGCTCAGATCGTGCCGATATTCAGGCACGCAACCCGCGAAGCTGTTTTGGTAGTTTATCTGACGGGCGAATGACAGGGACATCCCACCCGATGAGGTCACGTCTGGGGGGACATGCGCAATTGCGAACTTCGAAGAGAACAGTCGGGCTCCGACAGACTGAGGGGATGCGGCTCCGCGACGGCGGATGCGATCGAGAGGGCCCGTCTCGAGCGGGGCGGCTCGCATGACGGCTCCAACAATCTATCACTGACTTGTCAACCTATATCCTTAGCCGGGCACGCAGCGGCAGCTCACCATTTGACCTCATAGCCCCAGATACTGAATATGTCGGATACCGACAATCCACCCCAGTTCCCGTGATGTTCGCTCTGGGAATCCTGCAGGAGCAGACGCAAACAGGGTCCAAGCGAACGATGCTGCGAGCAATCACCATGTCGACATGATCGCGAGTATGGCGTCCCTCTTCGTCCGGATGAGTTCCTTGCTATGCGTATCCGTGGGCGTGGCCTGACGCCCTATTTCGAACACGTCCTCGACCGTGCGCCTCAGGGAGCCGTCCTGCAGCGCGTCCCGCCATCCCGCGTCCCTGTCATTCGCATCCTCCGATTCCAGCTGCAGGAGCCCGAAATTGACGACGAGCTCGCTCTTGAAGCAGATCGTCTGCAGCACGGACGCCGGATCCTTGCTGGGACGCCCGAGCAAGGCCAGGAGGTCGGACACGGAGACGGACGGGTACTTGCTTGTGCCCGAGGATCCACCGGTGACTCCTCCTCCTGAGCCTGCACCGTCCCGCGGGGGCGCAGATGTGGGCGAAGGTTCATCTGTCGTGGCCGCGGCACTGTCAGCGGTCGATTCTGCGCGCGGTCGCCGGCGTGGTTGCGCACGGGCACGCGCCTGGGGTTTAGGCTTCGAGCTGCTGGCGGCCTGGTTCCCTCCCAAGGCATGTCTGCATAGCATGATCTTGAATCGCGCGATGGTGTGCGTGAGAGGAAGAGCCGCGAAGAGGTAAGAGAGCGCGTCGATAGGGAGCGATGAGACGCGGGCGGAGACAGCATTCAGGAACATGGGAAAGTCGACGAAAGGTGTTGACGTCAGGTTGATGAGCTGCAGGGCAGGGGAGACGCATGCGGTGTTAGTATGCGTTGGCTGACGTGACGAGGGACGGCGAGCGGGCGACGAGCAGGGATGCCATCGTGCAGGGACAGGAAGGTTACGCTTACCAAGGTGAGCAGGCGGATACCGAGAGACCGCTGTGCCTCGTGTTCTTGTTCCAGCGCATGAAACACGACGTCAAGTGGCATCCGCATATCCCAGCGCGGCGCCGTTTCCGGGCGCGAAGGGGGTATTTGCCTCAGGAGGAGACGCGAATAGTGAACTGGGCGCAGTCGGGATGTCAGCTAGAACCCGAAGCGGAATGGAGCCGATCTACTCGCCCTCTTCTTTACGTTTCGTCGCAGCCTCGTCGCTCTCAAAGAGCGTCAGAATCCAGTCGAGGACGCTCCAGGCATGGTCGCTGACGGGCGCAGGCGCCGCGCCGTTCTCCCATTCCCCTACTTCGTCATCCTCGTCTTGCATCCTTGTCGACCGGCGGCCTTTTGTCTTGCGAGGGCTCGCCATAACGTCACCGTTGCCACGCTGAATGAAGCCTTCTCTGATGATCTCCCAGCAGCATCGAGCGTTCCGGACACGCAGCGCCTCTCGCGCGATGTGCGAATCTTCCAAGCCAGCACCATTGCCCGCCGGCGCGTCGGCATTATCAGGATAGGCCGGAAGAGCGCATGCAAGGGAACCGGGAGTGTTCGTTCGCGCGAACTTCATGAGGAGATCCTGAGCGGCGGCCGTGACCTTGGGTGATGGGGCAAGGGAAGACTTGTGCCGTCGCGACAGGGTTTTGCTGGGGCTTCCCGGTTCGAGCTTCATAGCCTCCTCCTCTATCTGATCTTCGAGGGAAGGTTCAGGGTACAAAGCGATGTAGAGCAGTTGACGTATGTGAGCACTAAGGTACAGAATATGCATACGTCAACACATTGAACGGTTTCGTCTAGTAATACGAGCCTCCCAATAACTAAGGGGTATATTGGACTCATGACAAGACGATGGAGGGCAGTTCACCGCTGACGCGGAGCGAGAGACAAGACACCACTTGAAGACCCTCCAAGTATTGTCTGGGCACTTCGTAGACGATCGGGTCGCTACTCGATTTGGGTGGATAATTGGCTCCTTCACGTAGAGTCACGATATATCATCATGATGCCCTTGCGCTGGAAACAACTCACACCTCAGAGTTTGTGGCTCGCGGCCGTTGTCTGGAGTCGCATCGCTGTCCAGGGATGCGTACACCTCATACCATTGGGCGCGCGAGTGAGCGTCATATGCTCGGCCGTTGAAGCAGGAATCTGCGCGCGAACACAGCACTCTATAGTGAGGGCCTCGCGCATGTGCTGGTGCGAGAGCTGTCGGGCAAGTGGTAGTATGGGCATGACTAGGACTAGAGACGTAGCTCGGCTGCCGTGGGCGAGAAGGTCCTCATCCGCCTGCATGAAGTGCACTAGACGGACCAGGCCCGACTTCTGCCTTCGTTCTCTCTTCCAATGTTCTCTTTCTGGCCATGACCGGTCAAGTTTTTGAAATAGGACGCTCATCGCGGGTCACAGATGGCGGCTCCGACGGCGACCACACTATGCCAAACCGACAGTGCCTCGACGTTGAAGGGTTCCATGTGGAACGTAAGTGGGGTACCATCTGAGGGACTCACTCGTATGGTTTGCTTTTGCGAGAGCGGATCTCGTCTAGCGCAGCTATCGCCGCTTCGTACTGTCCTTCGTCAAAGCAGTTATCCGCGAGGCTCCTCTCGTGCACGGTGAGATCCCTCTCTGCTGGAGATGCTGTCCTCGTCGCTGTCATTGTGTCTTGTTGCAGTGGCCTTTGCCCGGAGGATGTTCTGCAGCAGAATTGAGTAGATGGTAGACGGAGAAGACGAACGGCAGAGGATGAGCGCTGCGGCGGTGGCACACGCGCCAGCCCGCGGTCACGACGGACGCGTCGCGTCACACTGCGTATACGCGTCGCGTCGGGGATCGACACGTCGTTCGAGCATAAGCATGCATGCATATATGCACATGAATCATAGTAGCTACATGCAAGAGCACCTCCACGAGACTTGTATGCTACAAAGAAGCCATAAGGATGTGCGTACCGGCGCATATCGTAAGACGTAAGGAGAACAGACAGAAGCGCATGCATGAAAAACGTGGTCCGAGAGCAAAAAGCAGCATAGACATGTGAACAGCAGAGTCGTAGCAGATGTGGACGGGAGCGGGGTATATAACACTGATGTCACGGAGGCGACGACGCGGGTTCAAAACACCCTGTAGTCCTTGTAGGGGACCGCTTCGGGGACCGACGAGCGAGGCTTACTCCTACCCCCCCTGTCCCCTCTTCCACCCTTCCCACCACCGCGCCCCCTCTTGTGGTAGGCACCCAAGTCTTTGGAGATCTCCCCTTGGGGGCGCGACCCATCGCAATAGCAACATTTGCAGTCCCGCTTCCCGTTTGCCTTCATCGGCTGGCCATCGAGCAGCCACTTGAGGTGAGGGAGGAACTCTGTGGGAGATCGGAACCGGTCTACATAGACGGATCCTGAGATGCAAAGCACCAGCGTGGTGAGAATCTAGTGATGTCACGAGGAAGACGTGGGTGGCTCACCATGAAGGTAATGGTCCGTGCGAGGGGTATGCAGATCACCCTTCTTGTGCGTCCACAGAACGTAATGTTCCGGAAGAGAGGAAAGGAGTATTTGGTCCGGAGGCGTAGGAACTAAGCATGACAGACCAGACGGGGATCACTAAGGACCGGGACTTGGAAGCATAGCAAAGGAGACGCACGCTGAACACCCTCCTGAGCCAGTTCTGCCTTCACTACGGTGTCGTACAAGAACTTCCCAAGCTTGGACCTCCACAGCTTATCAATCTTCGTGCCCGTCTCGACCTCCTCGTAGTAATTCACCTCGCCGTTTGCGTCGGGAGTCGGATCTGTTTGGAGAGGCTGCATCCCCGGCGCGGCATCGGTAGTGTCTTCATGGAGAAGGATGAACATCGTCTTCTGGTGAAGCAAAACTTCGTACAAAGCCGTCCGATAAATGCGCTGCAATGTATGAGGTGTAGTCTGTGCCATAGCGGCAGAGATGGTGGTGGTTGAGGGAAGAGAGCGGGGCGGATTCCGGAGACACAATTATTGGCTCGACAGGCCTGGGTAAGTGGATTACATAAGCATGGCAATGCCCGTGAGTTCAAAGCAGTGTTTAGTCATACTATGGGTCTTCCCAGAGCCCCCAGAAGGTATGTGATAAACTCAGGGCTGTGAAGACAAAGATTAGATCCGACTAGAGTCGAAGCAAGATCT